AGGTTCCCTCAGGGAGATGACCTATGGCCAGCACATGCTGAGCAAGAAATGGGACCACAGTACTGTTACCACTGCTGCCCAGAATGGGGCTTGACCATCGCATTTTATTATGCATGGGTTTCTGCTTGCATCATGTTGGGGGTGACTTGATGGAGGAAGAGAGAGGCCCAGCCTTGGGAGAAAGGGAATGAGGGAACACCTGGTTCTTCAGGTTGAAAATATTTGGGCAAAAAGATTGCATGTGCCAGGCGCAGTGGAGCACACCTGTCATCCCAGCAGCTTGGGAGGCTGAGGCAGGAGGATCGTGAGTTCAAAGCCAGCCTCAGCAACTTAGTGAGGCCCTAAGCACCTCGGTGAGATGCTATCTGTAAATAAAATACAAAAAAGGGCTGGGGATGTGGCTGAGTGGTTAAGCAACCCTGGGTTTAATCCACAGAATGTGTCCTGAACAAGTACAGAATTTTTTTGTCATTATTTCCTGAACAATACAATATAACGATGATTTACATAGCTTTTGTATTGCATTGGGCATTATAAGTAATCTAGGGACAATTGCAGTGGATGGGAGGATGTGCATAGGTTTTGTGCAGGTGCTGTGCCATTTTATAGAAGGGACTTGGGTATCTGAGGGACATGGAGGGAGGATTGTAGGTAGTAGGACATGCAGAAGGGGCCAAAGGTGACAGGTCAAGACTTCTTGGGCATGTGGGTGTGTCAGGCAGCTTGGGATGTGCACTTGTGCTTTCCCAGCCCAAGAAAGGTACTGGCTTTGCTCTCGCAGTGCAAGACGAGTTCCTAAAGCCAGACATCCTTCGTTCCTCGCACTCTGAAAACCCCACCTGAGTTGTGTGTGCCTTATGATCACAGACCATTAGACACCATTAGCGCATGAGGGACGAGATCTCAATCGTGAAGTGCAAGCTCTCTTGTGAAATGCAAACCTAGTTTCACATATTAATTGCTTCTCATTAAGGAGGAACATTTCAGCCAATTAGCTCTTGGAATTTAGGTGTAATCAGAAGGAGAATCCAGAGGTTTGCTAATTGCTTCCCCTGTGGCTGCCGTTGGCCTTCAGCACCGACATACACGGTGTCCACACGAGGGTGCGTGTGACAGGCTGAGAAGCTGTCGTGGCCGTGCAGAGAGCAGCCACCCTGCCTTGGAAACTAACACATAAAACAAATGGTGGGGGTGGGGGTGGGGTTGAGGATGATAAGAGAGAATAAGAACATCCACAGCTCCAGACCCAGGTCTTGGGCTGACTCGGTGGCTGAGGGCGTTGACGGATGCTGAGCACATCCTGTCACTTCTCTGGGTCACAAGACAGCAGAGATCTCTCACAGCTTTCACTTCCCAAGACTCATGACCAACTTTCATGGTTCCTGATGACCGTGCAAGGCGGGGGCCTCCCCTGATGTCAAGGCAGGAGCGTGGGTAAGGGTTCAAGGAGGAAGCGTGGCTCCCGCAGCCCTGGGTTTGGTGAAGGAGAAGGTCTTCGGCCATCTGGACACCATTCTGCTCTTTCCCATGGCTGTCCCTCCGCCAGTGGCCTTCTTTGGTTTGGGGGTGAGCCAGTCCCCTGCATGGTACCAGCCTCTCTTCTGACCGGGACCCTGCTGGGGTGTCGTTCCTCCTCCACTGCAGAGGGCCTCTGCTTTCTCCATTCCTGCCCTGTCGGGCTCCTCCCCGGCTGCGAGAGGCTCCCACCCGAGTCCACCTACCACTGCTGTTGACTGAACTCTGTAATTACAAAGATGATGCTTTTGGCAACTTGACTCGGGCTTAATGCTGCAATCCTCATTATTATATAATAACTCGCCAGTCAGAACTCGCTCGTCCTCTCCACCCCCGTCCACATGGGTGTTTTTCCTTTATAAAAATAAAACAGGTTATTATCCACCACCACCCCTTTCCACGAGGATCCAAACAGTTGTATATGGAGACGGTGCTGCTGATAGAGGTATTCCCTGTGCTTGCTTTCTTAGGGACAACTTATTTGACTTTCTTGTTGGTGACTTACATCACACTCCTGGACCCTTAAGCACAAGTCCTGTGGATAGGAGGCAGATAGATCAAGATAACGCTCTCCAGGAAAATGGAAGGGGCCCAGGGCTGTGGTGGCCTCTCCCCGGGGAGGTTGCCACTTGCTGAGCTCTGACTCAGTCTCATGGCGAGTACCGTCTCTACCTGGCATTTCAGCCAAAGGACCTTGTTCCCTTTGCCCTGGGAAACAGCATCCTACAGAGAAGGCAAGAATCAATCATAATAAAAACTAACCTGCCAGGTAGAAAGCATGATTTGGGTCATCTGAACTGTTCATATTTTTTAATTTTTATTTTTTGGTACTGGGGATTGGACTCAGGGGCACTTGACCACTGAGCCACATCCCCAGCCCTATTTTGTATTTTATTTAGAGACAGGGTCTCACTGAATTGCTTAGTGCCTCGCTTTTACTGAGGCTGGCTTGGAACTCTCTATCCTCCTGTCTCAGCCTCTGAAGCCACTGGGATGACAGGTGTGTGCCCCCGTGCCTGGCTTCTCTGTTTCCTTGAGTTCCACCATATTCCTAACAGGCCTGAGTATTCCTTCAAGGTCCCTGTGATGGCAACTGTTGTAATTTCCTGGCAGGAAACGTACACAGAGAACGGGGCCCCACTCACCCTCTATCCGGGCAACGGGAACGAATCCGGTTCGTGGGTGCGGCATGTTCTCATTGTGTGCAGCCTTCATTAAAAGTAATTAAAACTTGGCAAATATATTTTTCAGGTGATTAAGAGACCCATTTCCACTTCTCCTTTTGGGAGGTCAGTTACTAGTTACCAAAACAAAACACCTGCCTTCACATCAACCAGCCTGGAATGGGGCTGTAGGCAGCTTGCCCAGAGTTGGGACGAATGTCTGTCTTGCCCGAAAAATGGGGCCTTGATTTACCTAGGTCCTGGCTGAATATGGCAGATCTTAGAACTCAAATCCAATTAAAAACTTTCCCCAGGCCAACATGATTAAAGACTCAGTTCTTCCATTACTAAATTAGCTATCTTACTAAATTAGCTATATGTCACTTATACAAAATATAAAACTGGGTTGGGGCTGTGGCTCAGTGGTAGAGGGCTTGCCTAGCACATGGGAGGCCCTGGGAGGAATCCTCAGCACCCCATAAAAATAAATAAATTTAAAAAAAATAAAGTAAAGGCATTGGGTCTATATACAACTAAAAAACCTTTTTAAAAATATCTTTTTAAAAATTCATATAAAACTGATGGTGGCAGGTGATTGATCATCTTGATGACATAAAGCACATCTCAAAGAAACCTTCTCCCCATTCAATGAATGCAATTCCAATGAATGCAATCGGTATTTTCCATACTCAAATTCTGGGAGTACATGACCCCGTGATTCTGATGAACCAAGTCAGCATTATGTGTGAATTCACCCCTCAGGGGCTCAAGAAGAGGTCGACAATTACATCAGGAGGTAGGAAGAGGAATCTAAGACAAAACAATTTATTGCTATTTTTTCCCCAGGTAAACGGTCCTTCAAGGACCTTTTGTCAGCCAAACCTGATTCCTCAGTGGTTTGCTATGATGACCTCAAATGCTTCCACAGAGGAGTGCAAGTATAAAATCTACCCTCAGCAACCCTCATGCTTCTGTTCGAGGGCCCTTGTCACCTTAGAGATGGGGAATCAGGGCCAAGAAGTCCAGAGGAGGTGCCCAGAGGGGAACCCATGTGGCATCTCTGGGTGAGGCTGCCCCTATTCTCCCTTAGCCTCGTGCTCCCCACCTGCACAATCAGCAGGGACATGCATGCCCTTACCGAGGACACAGGCTCCTGCGGTTTCAAGTGACTGGCCGTGTCAGAGCTGGCCAGCTGGACGTCGGGAAGCCCTCTGGCAGGAAGGGCAGAGCAGGGCCTGGCCGGGTGGACCTCCTAGCCCTGCCTGCGAGGTGGGGAGCCCGCAGCCCTCTCCTGAGGTCTTTCCTCCCAGCTGCGGCAGAGCTCTAAAAAGGGAATCGCCCTCCCCGGACTCCCAGCCACAAACGCAGAGTTCACAGGTCCCGACTCTTTCCCACAGAGGAACATGTGTTTTTGTGGAGAGACCACACAGAGGAGTCAGGATCTCTGTTGTTTCCAGAATCTGGCCTGCGTTGGCCGTGGAGCCTGAGTCAAATTAGAGACCCGTGGCCTCGCGAGGCTGGAAGGAATTTAGGGATGGCCTCTGCTGGAGCATCAGAACCACTGGGACTGCTTGTTAAATCGCAGACTGGGCCTCACTCCCAGAGACTCTGAATTTAGTAGGTCTGGGGTGGCTTGGAGATTTTGGCTTTTCTGCAAGCTTCCAAGGCGTGCTGATTCATGGACCACACTGGAGCAGCCTGGCCTACGCCACCTTGCCCTAAGATGGACTGGCAAGCTGCTTCTTCAGGGCCTCAGGGTGCATACTTGAGGGTCTGGAGGCCAGGCAGCCGGGTCCTGCCGTCGTGGCGTGAGAGCAACCATGGCCACGGGGACCTAACTGGACATGGCTATCTGCTGACAATCTGTGCACAAATGACAGGCAGCTCTGGGGGCTATAGGCTGGCCCCTCCCTCCAGCCTCAGTACAGGCCAGAGCAGTTTGGGCCTTGTGTTCTTCCCGGCCATTCCCTGGGTCCAGCTGGGCAGTGGGAGGCACTTCTGGCCCTATCCCCCCACCTTGCCTCTGATGCAAACCTGTCAGTAAGCACTCAGAGAAGATACTTGGCACCAGGTCCCCCCAGTCCCACGTTACCAGCTGGACTGCTCTGCGGTATGACACAGAAGGGATGATTCTTCGGAAGGGTCATTTAGCAACTTTGTTGGTGTCAGAGGATAAAAGCAGCACTGTCCCCACGACGTGGAACAAAAAATGAGTATCTGAGGAGGCTAGCAAGACGGAGCCACCATAATCCAGGAGGGCCCCAGACACCGACTGCTTGGTGAAGTGTTTCAGGGAAAGAAAACATTCTCTAAACAAAGACATAACCAACGAGTTATATTATTTTTTATTCATGTTAGAATTTCTATCAGTGTTTGAACATTAATATTTAGAGAGTTTGTACATTTTCACCTTCCAAGGTGAGAACCACCTAGGTCACAAGGATAACTAACACGTGTGTCACGATCGCGGGAAAATCCACTCACCCTCACTCTCTTAACACTGTTAAAACATTTTCTTTTGCCTGGCCGTAATTTACAATGAAAAGTGTCCCCACTCATGTCTCAGCAAAATTCCAGACATCTTGGATTCATCACATATAAATTCTTTAAAAATATACTTCTGTCAAAAGACTCGATGACTACTATGTACACTACAAAAATAAATTTTCATATAAATAAATTATATGGCATACTTTTATCTTTGTAATTGAAATGACACAAACTCATTTCCGCCCCAAATCGGCAGACAACGAGACCCAGTTTGAATATTAATTTCCTTTAAACTCCTTACACTAAAACCTACCATGAGTCCTTAATGTAAATGTTATATACTCTGAACTATTTAACATTAGTAAGCACTCTATACAAATAAAAATTCTGTTCAAAAGTAAAACATAGCTGTAATAGTGTTTCCAATAGAAATAAAATCCCTGCATTTTTTTTTGTTATAAACTGGCATGACAAACACTGTAGGAAAACATTCTTATGATACAAAATTATAAATATCAGCAAAGATTTTCTTTAAAAAAAAATTAAAACATCCAAATGAACAAACAAGACAGACAAGAAGGAGAGAGAGAAAGAGAGAGAGAGAGAAAGAGAGAGAGAAATTCGCTTCCTGCCAGCCCTGAGTCCTGCTGTGGCCAGTGTGACCCCTGGAGAAAGTCCTATGTTGTACAGAAACCCAGTGCTGCTTGGTTCACCTGCTCCACACAAGCCGGGATCGGGAGAGGAGGGAGAAGCGCACCAGAGCGTAGGGGTGGAATTTTCTGGCAGAGCCGGTGCCAGGAGGGCAGACAGCATGGCTGATGAACAGGCACCCACAAGTGCAGGGGGTGGCTGGGCCCTGGTGGCTTCCTATTAGTACCTCACAGTTTTGTGGCAAGTTCCAGGGTCTGAGGTCACTGTGATGCTGTGCCCCGGGGCCTGCTGCCTTTCTCTGAAGGTTTTCCATGTGAAACGGGGGATAATGGGAGCTGTCACTGAGTTACCCCCACAGTAACTAAGGCTTCAGCCATGCGGGCACTTGGTCCTCTCCTTAGAGACAAGTGACTGTGTTGGTTTGCAGGGAGCCCTTTCCCCGACTCATGCTGGTCTCTGGCTACAGGGGCAAAAGGAAGCCCAGACCTCTGAGCCTGAGAATGGAGTTCACACAGACGCAGACCTTTCAAGAATAGCGTCCAGGGGGTAACCTGCCTCCGTCCACACCTGCAGGTCCCCTCAGTCCCATGTTACCAGGTGTGCGATCACACCTTCCTGCTCTTCAGTAAACGTCACACCGAAAAGACAGTGACCACAAAGCAGAGGGAGACCACGTTCTGACTGGTTTAGGAAGCCTGCCCCCAACGTGGACATGGAGAGAAGGACCTCTGAGAGCCCCCACCCCACAGGACTTCCGGCTCTTGTCACCAGATGGGACGCTCACTGTTTAGTTTTACAGAAGACCAAGGAAGCCCCAGCCAGCTGTTCCATTTTAGAAAGAGGGGGACTGTAAACTTAATCACAATGTTAATTTAAATCATAGGGACTCAAAGTGTCACCTCTGGGTTTACTGTGGGCAGAAGAAACCCAACAGGTTTTCTACCTGTACCAGGGCCATGGGGGGACTGTGTGTGTGGGTACATGTGCGGTGTGTGCTGATCACGAGAGGGCACGGTGCTACATGCTTTTCTAGAGTTCATGGAGGCTCGGCAAGGACCCACCATGAGGCCTGCTTCCTCACTCCTGACCAAGGGAGAGCATTGGGTCTACACCCTGAGGTTCCAGCGTCCATCACCAGGATCAAGGTGAAGGCACTTACTCCCTCTAAAGCACAAGGTGGGGCATCTGGAGGGCAACGTGATGGTAAGAGAGCCCGGCTTCTCCTGGACCATCCCTGGAGAGTGCGGCGAAGCTCAAGGCCAGCCCTCCACCAACACAGAGCCACAAGGACAGCATGACCCCTCCAGCCTGACTGGGCAGAGCCCACTAAGCATTACAGACAGCATTAGAAACAGACAAAAAAACCCCAAATCACAGTACAGTACATTGGGAAATCACACACGTGTTCACACACATGACCAAACAGAGAACCGCATACAACTACCCCTAGAGAAGCCACCAAGATTAACGTGCTTTCTTCATATCTGCTCATTAAACAACAACAAAAATTATCACGCATAGCGTGTTTGAAAGTTAACAGTAACATTCCATACTACCACAGGGTCGTGATATGCAAATTTAAAATATTTTAAAACAGGAACCTTTACAAAATAATCCTATTACATAAGCAATATTTGCATAGAATTATACAGGTAAATTATACAATATTTAAGCAGCAGCAACATATGCTGAACATTTAAGACTAAATTAAGCTTGGTTGTGGCACGGAGACCAATGTACAGAAAGGGAGGGGCCCCGAAGCCCCCCACCGCGGGGCAGGAGCGGGGAAGCCCCAGGCCACATCACTTTACAGCATTCCCTCTATATTACACATGTGCACACCTCTGAAATATTTACAAACAAAATAATACAGTGGGTTACAGTAATGGCGAGCTGCTCTCCCGGTGGGGCGCGTCTCCATGGCTCCAAGCAGCTCTCTTCAGGCAGTTCTGGAAAGGGGCGGGGGCGGGGGTCCAATCTTTGGCCTCTTTGCTTCAGATTTTAATCACCCTTTAAAAGAAAACCAAAAAGGGCTGTCAAGGTGGGTAACAGGTGGCTGCATATAGAGGGTTATGGGACAGCGAGCGGCTGGGGAAGGGGCACAGGGGGCCGGGGCTGGTCCCCATCCTTCCTTCATCCAGTGGCAGAACACAGGGACGTTTGCTCTGTGACCGCTCATGGAGCTGGGTATCCACGGCACACAGAGGACGGTCTGCCCAGATGATTAAGGATGGGTGTATCAGGACATTAAACACACCTCCCATGAAAATTTGGCATTGTGATGGGACCCCATCTAAGCTCGGGCCACTGAGCACCTGCTAGGGCACCGTAATACCCACTGGCAAACAGGGAGAAGGCGGCTTCAGGGCCCTTGTCGAGCTGTGCTCATCCTTAACAGGTTTGGGGAAGGACCCAGGGTGGAACTGGACTCTCTCCCCGGAGACGACAAACTTGTACACACTGGCCTTGCCTTGGGGTCGACAGGTCCCTGGGGTCCAGCTCGGGATATGCCAATGGCCAGGGACCCCCGGAAGAGACAGCCTGAGAATCTAGGTGCTTCTCTGCACCCCAGGCCCATGGCCAGTGTGCAAGGCCCAGCCACCTGTGTTGGCAGCACGCACCTCAGTTGGAGCTGCCTCCCCAGGGCCTCTCCTCACATTCCACGTCCTGCAGCTCAATGACTTCCACCTTCGAGTCCCTCCTCTCGCACCGGACGTGAAAAGGCACGTGGGGGTCCTCGAACAGCCCAGGGTCAGTCTCGGGGTAGCCCTCGTAGCCTGGGCAGAGACCCCCTCGGGGGTTCCGCCCAGGCCCGGGCCCAGGTACGGGCGGGGGATGCACGGCAACAGTCACGGAAGCAGAAGCCGTCACAGTGGTGATGGGCTGGCAGTAGCCGGGCACGGAGCTGCCCAAGGCCGTGGACGCTGGGTTCCGAGGGTTGTGAGAACGGGCCCCCCGGGGGCCGGAGCGGTCCCTATTGCTAGGGCCAGAATGCCCTTCAGTAGGAATTTCAAAAGCGTCTCTGCGCGGTCTATAGGGGGGTGGCCGCAAGCCTTCTCTGGCAGGGTCCCTGCGGGTCTGCTGGCTTTGCTGTCCGGGGGGCAGGGAGCCCGAGTCCAGGTGAGGCTGCTGTCGAGGGTTCGAGGGTGGGTGATGCCTTGATTCGGGATGGACCACCTGCAGAGGGAGAGGACAGGTCAACACAGGCGGCAGGTGCCAACCCCAGGTTGTGCACTGCTCCCTCCAGACCCCCAACCGTCAGCCCCAGGGAGCCAATGGGGACCTTCTGCCTATGAGGGAGGGAAACTCTTCACGCCCCTCCGGGATGTGGCAGGGGACGCGCTCTGGGATCCTGTTTCCAGGCTTGCCCTGACACAGCTGGCTGGACACAAGTGCAGGCTGCTCATAAATGCAGGGCTCCGGCAGGAGGCCGTCCCAGCTGCTTCCTCCAGCCCACCCGCCACCCCGCCCTGCTCAGTCCAGCCAGGCCCTGGGCTCCTCTCTTCTAAAAACTGCAAAGTATCGTCCAGCCCTGCTGGCCACAGCACGGGCCGTGGGCAGGACTGTCCACCCCGCACTGCTGGGTGTGGTAGCCATCAGAGACACGTGGTTATTTAAGTTTAAACGAACAGAAATGCAAAGTGCATTTCCTCGGTTACACGAGCAACATTTCAAGTGTCCCTCAGTCACGTGTGGCCAGCGGCTACGATGCTGGAGAGCAGGGAGAGAGCACGTCCACCATCGCAGAAAGTTCTCTCCGGCAGGGCGGCTCTGTCCGCTTGTTAGGAGTCTGGTTTCTGGGTCTCTATACAAAGCACGGAGCAACACAGTGGCCACATCAATCAAAAGGACCGTGACCAACTTCAAAGTCCTTCAGCTTGTACCTATTTTTAGGCTCCTGCTGAACAAAACCAGATTCACACTGCAGCTCAGCAGGCATCGTCACGGGGGGCGAGGGCAGGACAATCGAGGTTATTGGGTTGGCCCCTCTCTCTTTCATGGAAGGGCTGCTCTGGCCTGGGACTGGAATACCCATTTCCTGGCAGGATGGCAGGGGGCCTTGGTGGAGCAACACGGAGTCTTGGAACCTTCCTGGGCTTCTGGAAGCTGAGCTCTGGGCCTGGGGTGGGGGCAAGGCCATCCTTGGGAGCACAGGGTGGGCCGAGGAACGCAGCTTGAGCGAGCTTGGGGCCTCGGAGACAGGGTTCCCGCAGCAACTTACGGTGGAACGGGCGAAGACTGGGTTTTCTGTGGCTTCCACGATCACTCGGTGGGGACGACCCCCGGTGCCCTGCTGGGCCTCGTACTGCCGCAGCTCCTCACTGAGGCCGGACACCGTGGTCTGAGAGCTGTACTCCGAGTCGGAGGAATCAGACCCGTTGTTCGTGTGACTGGGAGGCACCGCAAACCGGACCACACTCGGGGGTGGCTCAGGGGAGGGGGTGGGTAGCCGGTCTAGGCCGTGGGCAGGAGACACCTGTTTATGGGGATTCCACATGAAACGTGTGACTGTCTGTCTACTGCTGTGTGGTCTCAGAGCTCAAAGCATCGTGCGGGTGTCTGTCCCCTGCCCCGTGACCCACCCACCTCTCTGCCACATGGAGGACATTCAGGTCCCACAACTGCAGCAAGGGAATAACTGCCCTCTGGTTTTTGATACTGGAAAGGTGACGTGTGCACCCTTTACCGCCATTATGCCCCAACATCCACCTTGTGGATGGTCTTCATTTATACAGGGTCCTAAGCTGCCGGTGACTGATCAGCTGGCTTAAAACAAGGCCAGTCCTACACCCCCGCCCCAAGCTATCACAATGGAAGAGGGGAAAGGCCATTGCTATTAGATGTTTACTGAAAAGGTAGACAATCTGCAAATGCAGTTGTATCTAAACATCTAAATTAACAGTAGAGGACCCGTGCTCAGGTGACCTGTGGGTTGGACACTGCGCCCGGCATAATTACTGACCTCGGGATATGGTCCAAAGAAAGACAAAAGAACTGGAAGCAAAACCAGTCCATTGAGAACACCCAGGATGGTCAGGATTGCCAGAACTGCAAAGAAATACCTGGAAGACAGAGAGAAACAGCAACCTTCAGCAGGACAGAGGTAAGTCAGGCTACCCCTCCTGTCCCCAAACACTGCAGCACGCCAACACCCCAAATTAACAAACCCACCCCGCTGAAATGCGGCTACAAAAACCAGAGTTCAAATGCAACAGGAGATTCGTTTTTTGTTTCTTTTCTTTTCTTTCTTTTTACCTTATGACTTTGAGGACTACATTCCACAACCCAAAGTGTTAGTTCGTGAAGGGAAGGAAAAACAAAAATTAGTTTGTTAATTTGCTGAAATCTCAGGCATGTAATGTTATTTATGAATGTGTTACACAAACACAAAAATATGGCGTGTGAGCTGAATGGCTGAGCAAACTGAAAGCACAAACAATGCCGAGGGGCCCTGTGCGCGAAAACCCAGCAGAAGCAAACAAATGAAGCGAAGGGTGTAGAATTTAAACAATTTGGCCCGGGAGGAGAGGCAGCCGCTGCTGCAGGCGGCTAATCCACTGTGAAATGCTTCTGCCTCTTACGGCAGAATCTCTAATTAAGTCTCCAGTGGATCAGGTGAGGCTTTGCCTGGGCTTTCATTAATCAGAACTTTCTGCCTAGGATTCTGCGAGTTCCAGTTTTTAACCAAACGGCTCCAACGGCACCCTCTTTAGAACACAGGAACCAGCTCTCCGCAAAGAAAACGCCGCCCATTCTGTGGGAGCGGGCATTGTGCTGGGTGAGGGCGCTCCACAATGGCGGGGCTGCGCTGCCGGCCAACCTTTTGTTGGACAATTTAGCATCTCTGAATACTCTTGTTTTGCGTCAGCCAATGCAAACATAAAGGCCACAGCACCATGGCTGAAGAGGAGCACGCACAAGCAGTTCTGCTTTCCCACCATTGAGGGCTAAGGTCTGGGGTCCTCCGCTGCACCCAGGTGGACCCGCCAGCAGGAAAGGCTCTGAGGCTGGACGGGCGCTGGGCACAGCCCGAGGGCGCCCACTCCAGCAAGGATGCGTTTCTGGAACTAATGATTTCTAGGGCTTTGATGGAAGTGGGCTGGGGCTGGGGGAGAGTGGGTCAGGATGTTCTGGGCAGAGGGAGGGCAAGGTATGGAGCTGTTAATGGTCCGCTGGATCATAAAACGGGACAGGACCCCCAACTCTGCCATGCCAATGCGTGTTTCAAAACTAGATGAAAGGGGAGAGGATCCCTATAAAAATACAAATACCTCACAGCTATTGTAAACACGAGAAACCTCTGAGCTGCATTAGTAAGAGGCCGAGCCGCCCATGCCTAGATCTAATGTAAACTGCGCGACGTTAGGCGGAGGCAGATATCAGCGGCGGGCATTAAGACATTTACATCCCATCCATTTAGCTGTAGCATAAACGGACCAATTAGATTCCTGACGGCTTCATGTACACAATGTCTGCTCACTTATTCGACCTCAGAGAGGGCTCTATCAGGCTAATCCATCCTGTGATGGGAAATGGGAAGCCCTCTTAAGTGTTTGAAACAGGAATCCGGAGGTCTCTGGACGGGGAACAAGCAGCCCCTGGGATTCCACCCTTTAGGTCCCCGCCAACCCCACTCCCGGGTGCTCTGTTTCAGGGTTGGTTCCTTCCTGGGGCTCACTTAGCACCCTGGCTGACTGTGATGCTCACAGGACCCCACTGTACTCTGCACATCTCCCTGCTCCTCCGTGTCTTGAACCACCTGGGAATTGTTCTCTCTCCTCGAAGGCCCTAAGCCACAAAGAAGGCTGTGGGTGGGGCCCGTGGTGCGCTCACTTAGGCAAAATGGCACTTGGGGGTTTTCATTGCATTTGTGCTCAATGAGAAAGTAATTACGCAAAAGAAACTATTTGGCACGGGGCTTTTAGACCTTAAAGAGACAATGCTAATGTCTGAGTAAATGTATACTGAAGAAATGAAAGTCAAAGTCAAATTAACTGCTTAAAACAAAACAGGCCCAAACCTTTATCTAAGTTAGGCAACTATCTAGTTGGTATTGGCAAACACACATTTGCTAATTGGCTTGCCGAGGCTGTGTTGAGAAGGCCGGCGCGCATGGGCCTTGCCTGGGAGCTGGCCGGGAATGCAGATTCCACCCTTCCCTGCCCCCAAAGATCTCGTTGGCATTTCAAGAACCTCAGATGACTTAGAAGTGTACTTATGGTTCCAGAAAAGTGCTGGTCTACACAGAAACAGCTCTTGCCACTCTGCTCACTCCAGTGCGAAACCAGAGTGAGCAAACAGTGGCTCATTCCAGGTGGGCTTTAGCTGAAACTCCTTGTTACCCCCCCCCCCCACACACACACGTGAGCACACGGAGGCCAGATCTGCTTCCCTCTGCAGACTGAGGCACCCGAGCCAGTCGGTTCTCATATTGGGTTCTGCTATGTCACGGTCCTTGTTCTGCACCTCTGTTCTCCTGGCTTTGCTACCTGACACTGTGGTTGTGTTAGACCCAAGAGAAGCCACCTCACCAAGCTGCAATGGTGCTCTCGCTATCTCGAGAACAGAGCCTCTTTCCCTGCAGATCTCTAGTTCCTCTCAGAGGGAAAACTCGCTCTACTTTCATGTCACATTCATACTTCAGTCAACCAGAAAGAAAAAGCCTGCCTCCAGACCCCAAGAGAAGCACTCAAACCAGGCTTGGATGTCCACAGGGTGACACCAAAGTCACATGCTCACTGCTTCCTAAAGCTCAGTGGAGACGTGTATATGAGATCTGGGCACATTATCTTCACCTCTTAAAAGAACAAAGTCTGGATGACCATTCTAAGTATCTGTTGGTTTTCCTTTCAACAGTTTTGAAGGAGACGAAGTAAGTTAAATGTGGTTAATTAATGGGAACCTTGGTCACCTGTGCAAACAGCCTCAACCTGGAGCTGCCCCTGCTGCCAGGCCCCTCCCCTCCCACGGGCTCCAGAAGAGAGCTTGTCTTTACACCCTTCACCATCAAGGCGGCTGGGCCCCGGCGCAGATGCTGCAGCCCCCAGGTGCAGGAAGACAGGGCAACGAACAGCACAGAGCTAAGCCTGGTGGTTTTCAAGGTGAGGCTCCACTCACACTCTCCCTTACCTGACGATGAAATCAAACTCAGACCCTGCAAGCATCAGGACTCCGAGCAGAGTGGACACGGCACCATCCAGAACGGGCGCGAACATGTGCTCCAGGGCAAGCACGGCCCTGCGGTTCTTATCGCCAATCGCTGTCAGAAAGGCCTGTGGGATGAGAAGGGTTCAGAGGGTCAGGTCCCCAGTCCACAGGTGGCAAATGCTTTGCTTTGTCTGAAATGCTGTGAGCTGCCTTTGGCCATCCCTGACACTCACTCCTCAGAGTTTACTGTTTAGCTCCAGGAATGTTTAACCAGGGTGGCTCAAGCCTAGCCTTGATCTACCCTCACACTACAATGTCCTGGTTCCGGCCCAGGGCACGTTCGCGTCGATGTAAATCTTGAACCAAACCAAACCAAAACTACACCAAAATGTGTGGGAACGTTTTCTTTCACTGCCCCTCGTCTGTAAGTGTTTGTCCCCCTGAAGAAGCTCACAGCTCACACGGAGGCCTCCAGTTTGAAAGCACCAGTGTTCTGGAGGATGTTCTAGATGGTCAAGATCTTGCTTCCCCAAGGGCTCAGCTCAGTGTCACAGGCAACTGGGTGCTGAATACATGTCCTCTCGTGATCATGCCAAGAGAAGAACTGTCACTGTTTCAAACTGAGCACCACAAAGGCATGACAAAGAGGGACCAGACCTCCAGTTGGCCCGAGCCTGCCCCTGTGTACAGGGACACGTCCCTGCCGCCTTCTTCAGGTCAGGACTGCTTGACCTGTACCAAGTGGGACTGGGTAGAGGAGGTGTGATGTTAATCAGGTGGTTGGGGAACACGACCTAGGACCCTCTGAATGTGACTCAGGGATTATTCTTCCCTGCCTGTTCCCACAGCGGGACCCCAGCAGGGAGCCCTGTGCCTGGGACAAGTTTTCTCTCTGCTCAATGGTTTGGGCTGCTCTGGGATGTTCCAAAAGAGAGCTCAGAGAGGGCCGGGAACCCTGTGGGGCATCCCCATCACTCAAATGCCCTGTGCAAGGACAAGGAGAGTCATTTTTCTTACAGATGAAGAAACACAAGTATACACACTCATTCTATGAGTCTTATTTTCCCTAAAATGGGTTCTACTCTTTCCAGAGTTGGGAAAGACAGTGGGGTCAACACAGCTGCCTTCTGCTCTTGGGAGGAAAGGGGGTTGGAGTCCTTCTGCTCTGTGCCATATCTGGACCATGACACCATTGCCATGTGTCTCCCATGGCTTATAGTGAAATGCAGCAAAGTGACAGGAACCGCCTACTTCTTTCAGGACTCTCGGGGAAGAAGCATCTTTGTTAAGTCTATTCTGTCATGTTATAAACCTTGTAAGAACAGTAACTGTCTAAACAGTTTCACGTATAAGAACACCGTGTCCTGCCTGTAGACAGTGCTCTTGGATAGGCTTTTGAGGAGGAGTAAAACAGTTTGAAGCCTGCAGTTTGCATTTCCAGGATAAAAATCAGTTCTGATTTTTCTAGCACTCCTGTTTGCAATGCTAGCTCAAAGTCCAGGTCTTTCATTCCCAGCAGAATAAACGAATTACATGTCGATCTGTAACTCGTGTGCAAATGTTTCTCCTTTTTGAAAGAAAAGGGATTAGAATTACTTGTTTTCTAAATTCTGGGCTGGCAGACTATCATTTAAAAAAAAAGAAAAAAGCTGGGCACTGTGGCACAGGCCTGTAATCCCAGTGGCTCTGGAGGCTGAGGCAGGAGGATGGCAAGTTCAAAGCCAGCCGCAGCAAAAAGCGAGGCGCTAAGCAACTCAGTGAGACCCTATCTCTAAAGAAAACACAAAATAGGGCTGGGGATGTGGCTCAGTGGTCGAGTGCCCCCGAGTTCAATCCCCGGTACCCTCCCCCCCCCAAAAAAAAACTCTCTTTCCTCCAAGCTCCATGAAAAAATGGAATTTAAGTAGGCTCCAAATTCAGAGAATATCATTTTTATATTAAGAGCTTTTAATCAATAATTTCAACCAAACATTCCTTTTAAATATCAAAGTTTATAATCTCTGGGCTGCATAATAAAGGCCTTGAAAGACCAGAGATGGCACAGGTGGGAGACTTTGTGTGGACATGCATAGGCTGTGGCCATGGTGCCACGGGACGCCTGCCACAGAACTGCAAAAGCAAAGCGAGAAGTGACGTGGTCCAAGTCCAGTGCTAGGCTTCCTGGCTGGGACGTTCCAAGCCTACGTCCTCACTCAGTGAATGCCCACCAACAGCACCAGAGGCCCAGGCTCTCATCACGTCTGCATGCTGCTACGAGCCTTCTGAACGGTTCTCTGACCTATCTACACCATGGGCTTGTCTCTTGAACCAAACCGAAGACCCCTCTAAAATTTGATTTCCTCCAACAAAACATTCACAAGCATCGGACGCATGGGGGCGGGATTTCCTGTTGACATCAAGGCTGGTTCTCTTACTTCCTGCCGTCATGGATTTAAAGGCTGAGGGTCGGGGAGCGGGGTGGACATGGGTAGAAGAGCCAGCGCCCGAGTGTGGGGCACCGGGGCCTCTGCTCACAGGTCGAGGGTGGCTCCCTGGGCGCCAGTTCATCTCGCCTTCCATCAGGCGGTCCCCACCAAGCGGCTGGTGTGGTCTTGTTTCATCTCCACTTTATGACTGTTTTAAAATTGGGTGCCGGCATGCCCACGCACACACTTGCACACATACTCCGTCCTGGGAACAAAACTGGCAGCTCCCAGACCCAAGGTGATACCTATGACAGTCGACCACATCAAAAGAGCAGACTCCGTGGGGCTGGCTCTGATGCCAGTGCAGACACATCCCTCAGCTCAGGGCTCAAGTCTCTTGCGGTGCCCTTGTCCTCAGACTCCCCCAGAGGGAAAGGGCTCCAACGTTTCAGCCCTGAGCCTGTCATGAGATGCAGGGGGGAAACATAAAGGACCCCACTTGGCCAGTAAAGAGGCTGGAGGAAACAATCCCTTTCATCAAATTGTTGCTTAAACTTTCTCCCTTACCAAAGCCACGTGAACGGTGAACTCCACCCCGATGCCGACGGAGGCGATCAGGATGACCACGGGCACAGCGCTCAGCTTGATTCCGATGAGGCCCATCATGCCGAAGAGCTCCACCGTCATCAAAGCCAGGACCATCACCTTGGAGAAGGCAAACAGCGAGTGATTAGGGTGGGGCACAGCACACACAGGTGTCCAACAGGGAGGGCGCAGAACTGAGGTGACCTCACTTCTCCGAAAGAGCAGGAAGACGCCTGCCATCAAAGGACTGACTTGCTGTGACCTCGGACAAGGTCCTCCCTATCACTCTGCTCTCCTGGGAAGGGAAATCCTGGAACAGTCCCTTTGTAAGAAGGAGCATAATCGGCCCCGTTCAGTATGGTCATGCAAGTTGCTTTTCCAATATAGCTGTCGTACTGTCGTGTAAGGCAAAAAACTATCAAAATGACTCCACTAGAGCCATCTGTGAAGAATTATAGCTGCACCTTTTACATATATTGGCCCTCTGTTTCTGGTCTTCCTCATCTGTGGATTTGAATGATCATGGATTGAAAATACTCTGGGGGGGAAACCCTGCCCCTGTACTGAGCAGGCACAGAGGTTTCTCCTTGTCCTTACACCCTAAGTAAGACACTGTAATAACTACAGTCAGCATTTACCTTGTATTAGGTACTAGATGTCATCTAAACGTGATCTAAGGCTTACAGAAAGTGCATAAAGGTTCTGTGTAAGTAATATGCCATTTTATAAGACATATAGGTATCAATGGATTTGGGTGTCTGGGGGCGGGGTTCTGGAATCATCCCCAGGTAATGACTGTAGTTTACAACAAGGTCTTTCCTTCTGATTTGATTTGTTTTTTAGTACCACGGATAGAATCCAGGGGCACTTAAAAACTGAGCCATATCCCAGACACCCCCCCCCCCACCTTTTAAAAAAGATTTATTTAGAGACAGGGTCTTGCCAAGTTGTTTAGGGCCTCACTGAGTTGCTGAGGTTGGCTTTGAACTTGGGATGCTCCTGCCTCAGCCTCCCAAGCTGCTGGGATTGCAGGCCACTGCGCCCAGCTTTCTGCTTTGATCTTAAGCATGGAAGCCATCCGTCGTCATCTTTCGGCCACTCCCCCCATATCCTACAGCCATGGCTTCTCTTTCTATCATCCCCCTGTGTGAAAGAGACAAGCACCTTCTATGTGTTGTTAGGTCTGGAATGTCACAGGTGACACTTCTGAGTGACTGAGTTGAAACAGTGAGTTTTGAGATGCCTCTCCCTCCATCCTAAAGGGAGCTCATGGGATGAAGGGATAAAAAATCCTGGAGGGTCAAAGCAGTCTGGCTTGGTTGGAGGGTGCACAGGCTAAGTGAAGATGCCTTGGCCTAGGTCAGGGGGAAGCCGGCAGCGGCGGGTGTGGGTCATGTCGCGGGGTCGCTGCACTTTGAAGAGATGAGGAGCAACTGGGGCGGACAAGCAGACCCTGGAGTCCAAAGGAGCGGCTTCTAGCAGCCTTTTATCTCTCTTGTAAAAATGTGTGTGTGGGGGGGGGGAATGGAAAGAGCCGTGAGGCAGGTGCTGGAGTTTCTTGGGCCAAGGGGAAGAAAATACAAGTAAAACTCTCCCTGTATACAGAGGGCAGAGGGGGGAAGGCAGGCTCATTCTTCTTGCGGGTGGGGTGGCGGGCAGAGGGGAAGGTCGGGGAAGAATAATGGAAGATGGACAACGTCCATGGCCTGAGTACTGTGAAAACATCTGCAGACTAAACATTTACCTTTTAATGTACCTGCTGCTGCCCAAACTTGTGCAGAAACAAAACCTGGTCTCTGTTTCCATAATTTTGGCATTTTAAAGGTTCTACTACACTCCATGGAATTTAAAGGCTGCCATGATTTTATTGGACTCTACATGAAACTCACTTCAAATCAGAAAGTACTTTGGAGAATGGCTGTCCTAAAAACAGGGTAGCAGTGGTGATGATCACTTCCCTGGGAGCTAAAACATACAGAAGTGCTTCAAAAGGCTTCTTCCCTTGCTCGAACCGTGGCCCTGACCTCTTTATGTCTCCCTTTCATGTCAAACACAGAGGAGGAACTTCTGTGCACCTTTAAGTTGGGGGTCACAAAATGACACTGGTAGAATTAAGAAGAAAGAAAAATTTCTACTTCACAAATGCTCAGAGCTGAAACCAAAGGTGCTTACAAAGTCCCCCATCTCGTATGGCCACGTTTTCAGGCTGCAATGCAGGGGACACAAGATTACGGCCATTAGAGGCTGTACCTCTACCATGAACCTCGCCACCTAGAGTAGAATAAATATATTCTGGATGATGCAATCGATACCCCACCTCCAAAGGGCTAGACATAAACACAACTTCCCGGCTGCAGAACGAGCTATGAGGAAAGGAATTTGACAGCCACAAAGACCCTTGTAATGAACTCACAATGATCCCAGCTGTCCAGGGGTTCAGCAGGAAGACCGCGCACACGAAGAACGTGCAGGCCAGCACCACGCTGATGGCCAGCAGCAGCCAGTGACGCAGGCTGATGTACTGCTCCCAGAAGAGGAAGGGGTAGCCGTTGGGGTAGCTGGCGAGCCCCAGGCTCGTGAAGTTGTTGCAGATGGTTCTCACTTTTTCAATGGCTTCCACAAAGTCCGAGGTGTCTCGCAAGCCGTTGAGGTAGAAAGGAAACTGGGCGTATTCGATGGGCTCTGCAGCGGGGACTGGAGAGAGAGGGCGCTGGTGAGAAAGGGCCGTGGTGAAGTGCCTGCCGTGCCACTGCATAGACGTGACACAAGGAGAGAGGAGCTTTGCAGAAAACCATGCTCACAGCCCCTCTTTTTAACATAAAGGAGAAACAACATTTATCTTGGGCTCTTTATAATGCTCATATTTGGTTTAAAAAAATTTTTTTTAATTTTTTTTCCTTTTTTGCAGTGCTGGGGACTATACCCAACACCTCTTGCATGCTAGGCAAATGCTCCATCATGGAGATGCTTTTTAACCAATAATTAACCTTCTTTGTTTTTTTTGGTGGGTAGGACGGGCAAGCAGCCCATGATATGAGCATTTTTCAGCCCTCCATTCCAATCTTCCGGAAGCACTCGATCACTGTTTGTGAAGGGCCCAACACCTCAGGACTTCAATTTTGGGAATGCTTTTTGTCATACCGACACTCGTGAAGTCACCAAGTACAGACTGGTTTCCTCGATTGCTATGAGCACAAAATGATTCCAGGGTCATGCTTTGCTGAGAAAAATGCTCTGCTTTCTTACCCTTTAGCAATCCCACCAACTTACACCTCCCTTGCATCTTTGCTAATGCAATGCTAAGCCTTGGGCGACCGGGAAGAAACCCTCTTGCAACAAGCCTTTGGTTCCTGCCGCTGTGCACTGCAGACCCTCTGGGGTCATTCAGCTGACTTGCTGAACATGATTTGCCCTATTATAATCTCAACTATAAATTTTCATTAAGACAAGCCTTGGCTGCTTGCCACAAGACTCTGGGGTTTAGATACAGGGAAGCACAACCCGCTGGCTTCCCGGCCCTGCGAGCAGAGGACTCATCTTCTTTCTCACGTCCTCTCTTGGCCCGATATCCGAAGCGCACACTGCTACTAATATCTCTAACGTAAATGCAAATTGAATCCACCAGAACCACCTTTCAAACTCTGGGCTGAGAGGTGAAAGGAAGAGGACACTGTTGTATACACTTCTCCGCTCTGGTTTAAACAGCTTTGACAGAGCACAGGTGCTTGGTGGCTTATAGGAATGACCCAACGTGCCAAAAATCCCTTCAACACCAGAGTTGACAAAGTTAAGATAAACATATAATCCCCGGCGATAAAACTCTGCAATAGTAAAATAACACTCAACCTGGAGGCGTCCCTGACGTTCACGGGAACAGCTGGCACTCAAGACCAAAGCCTGAGGAGTGTCTGAGAGTTAAGCTACAAAAGGAGATTAGAGACTCGTTTCCCAGCGTGAGCGAGCGTGGGTTGTATCCCATTACACATCCTCATCCGTCTCCCAGAGTTTTAAACTATAAGAAATATATTGTTCTATTTACACTTTTGAACCCTGGGTAGTGTCAACCGAGGGGGCTGCTGCCGAGCTTTGGGGAACGGGGCGAGGCGCCTCCGTGAGCTCCCAGGCCCCGCGGACAGCGTGCTACTTACTTCTCAACCGTGTTTCTGGCATGTAGTCGGCTTTGTCGTGGACCCACTCAGGTCGGTGAGGCCGGATGTTGGCCTGGGAGGCGGCGTAGGCCACGGGGTCATTGCTGACCCATGCGGTCAGGTAGATGTAGAAAGCGCTGGGGTTGATGATGCCGTCCGCATCCACCAGGCGCTGCGTGGGCAACTGCAAGACAAGAACAGAGGCCTTCAGAGACGGGTGCGGGGTGGACGCGCTCCTGCCCGGAAACCCGCGGGGCGCCACAGTGCATTTCCAACAAAGAACATGGCACCCGAGGAGAGAAGGTGTGCGGGTCCCACGGGAGCATGTGGGTTTCTCTCCAAACCCACTTATTGGAGAAGGCAATCCTCGGTTGTTTATAACACACACGGTCCTGCAGATGGCTCAGGAACCGGCTGAACCAATTAAATCTGAATGCTAAAAGGCTGTCTGCAGCCAAGGCGGGGAATGAACAATCTGGAGAAACATATTTATAGGAGGGGAAGGGGGGGAACCCTGGCAAGGATCCCCAAGCACGTCTGTGTGCAGTTAACCTCTGCTGTTAACACTGAAGGAAATGCCACCCAGTAAATGGAGGAGAGCTATAAAAATAAAACAACATCTGTATAAATTTTGCTAACACTAGCCTCCTATGACCCACGTATGCAAAAAAATGCCCGTCACCAGGGAGTGGAAGACCTGACATAGAGCGGCGGCCTTCTCGCTAATCTTATTTCTGAGACGTGGTCAGACCTAAGTGAGCCAGATCCCTGGACCTACCCAAGTCGCTCCCTCTACAGTGGATCTTGCCGGCTCTGCTCAGGTCAAGGTGCTGCAAGACGTGTGTGTGTTTGTGTGTGTGTGTGTTAGAAACAGTGAAAAAAAAATTTTTTTCCTGTTTATTTTAGATTTCAGGCCTCGTTCCAATACTTTTGGTCTTTTTTAACAAAATGAAAAAACCCCAGTGACAGTAGTTCCTCGAGAAAGAGGGAAGGGAGAGAGTGTGGAGGAGAGGGAGAGAACTAGACTTCGGGGATCTGGATTCAATTAATCCACAGGATACGTAACAACTGCATGTCTTCAAACCGTCTCTGGAATTACACAGCGCAGCTCCTGGCCGCCCTGCCTGAGGCATGCTTTCCTCCCTCCCAGGCAGAGGAAGTGATATCTGGAGGCCTGGCCCCGCCACATTTGTCCCACGGTGTCTCGGTGTCTCGGTCCCTAGCTCCACCCCAGCTCCCTGGGCACGTCCCTGCTATTGTCCCTCGGGCAGGCTCCTCTGCCCACACCCTTGTCAAGCCTGACAGCTCGCTGCACGCTGCTCTAGAGCGCCGACTTTCACACTCCATAATAACTCTGAACAATGTACTTTGTAAATCTGTCACCTCTCATGCCAGTAGAAAAGGAGAGACAATAAACAGAGCTGCTAAGATCATTAGCGTGACGCTTTCTGCCTGAAGGTGAAGCCAGCAAACTCCAAAGAGCAGAGGGAAGAGGCTCTGCGGATGGCAGGAGTGGTCCTGACCCACCTGGACACACTCCAGTGCACGCCTGAGGAGTCAGAAGGGATGTGCTGGGACCCAAGAGTCACCAAGAGGATGCAAATGCACTGGGACGAGCAGCAGCTCACATGAGGGGAGGGCAGCAACCACAGTGGCAAGTCCACGAGGATCCTGAGGAGCTGCCCTCTGGAGGCCGCCATCAGTCTGTGCTCAGTGTCCAGGGCGTGGGTGCGGGTGACCCGAATGAATTAGATATCAGAAATCCTCCAGTCCTTCCAGCAACCCTCTCCAATCCTCTAAGCCATCCAGCCAACCCGAATTCCGCTCATTGCAATGACTGCTACCCAACAAACCCATGTGTCCAGGTCTGAATACCATCAAGACCCCCGTGGTCACAGGTACTAGAAGGGGGAAGGACACGTGACCCAGCACTTCTAACCTGCACTGTCTCCTGCTCTTTATTTTGCCAATTATAACTGTGCTGGGGGTCAACACCTGTCCCCACCTGACGGAGGAGGAAAATGAGATTCCCTGACCTGCCGGGGGTCACACATTGAGCTGGTGGGATGAGGTAAGAATCAGAGCCCACTCGAGATGCTTCCTGCCGGTCCTTACGCCTCAGGTCCCCAGAGGGCACAGGCCGGGACCATGGACTACCAACCCATCTTCCCTATGGTAGCTGCCCCAGAGCTCCGCTGAGCCATGCCTGCAGAGACTCCCTGGGAGGCCCTGAGGGCCGGAGTACCTGACTGACGTCCACGGGCTTATCGCGGCTGCCGGTCTGCACGAGGAGCTTGTAGGCCAGGACCCCATCGTCTGATCCGTTTTTGTAATTGTTTGGCATGATTTTCCCAGTTTCCCAGTCACTGTCGAATGCATCCTGAAGTCCTAGAAAAGGCAAATGTGTGGAATGCATTACAACTCTTAGCCAGAAGCCCCCTGGTCCCAAGGGGGTGGGCCAAGGACAGCCAGCAGGACGGGGGACTCCACAGTCTGCCTTCTACTTCCGCTCAGACTACTGGGTGTTCATGAATGGACAGCAGGTGGCTTAGCTCATTCATTGGTCAGAAGGGGGGGAGAAAACACACGTTGTACCTTTAGAAAAACATAACTCTGCTTCTTCTCCCCCATGACTATCTGAGAAAGCAAGAGAGAAAGACACGGGGCTCATTAGCTGGAGGTGAGCCAGGGTTCTTCAATGCAACCAGAAATTCTACGCAGAGGGGCAAAAACACATGCAAGTCCCAGCCTCAAACAGCAACTCAGCGGCTCCTGGAGCCCAGGGTGAGTGGACAGGACTGTCAATTCGATCCATCTGTTCGACTCGTGGAGCTAATACAAGCTGTGGGATCCGCTGCCAGGTTGTGTAAAGATCACAGCCAACACCTATTCCCTCCCCAACGCCCTTCCTCTCTGCCACCCTTCCTTCCGAGGGGGTGTGGGGGACGGGGAAGGGAGGGGTCTCCAGCGCACAGGGAAATACCTCACAGGGTAAATTTGGATCAGATTGAGAACAGGAAGCCACAGGCCAGTACAAGGAGGCTCTGTGAGAACAGATGACAAACCGCAAGCCCGAGGGGAGGGGAAGGAGAGAGCTCTCTGGGCTTGGGGGATGGGTGAGCCCACCAGCCACCACACACAGCTGGGCTTGGCCTCCATAATCAAAACCATCATTACAGACCTGACGGTTTGGCTACAGCTGTAAAGAGATAAGCGTGTTGGAAGAGAAAACAGGGCCCTGGTGACCCGGCCTTAGGGTCTGAGCGTTGGCTGGCATACAAGCTCCCCTCGGCTCCCACCCACAGCTCCTCCCCAGTGACCTCCCAAGTAGAGCCAGGCCCCACAGCTCAGGAAACCTCGGCTTTTGAACAAGCCCTAGTGTATGGGTTAGGCGGAGATGGGGAGCAGGCAGAGGGTTTACTTCATTTCAGGACACGCCTTGGGTGGCTTCAAAGACCAAAAAAAAAGAAATCTGGTTATGTGAGTGCTTGGAATGGTTGTGCTCTTGGGGTTTGAAGTTTGGGGGGTGGTTTATAGATTCCTTTTCCTCTGTTTTGAAAAACCAAACCCTCTTCCTGACCTGCTCTATGCACCGTTTTTATTTGAACAATTTGGGGATGAGGATGGGGGGCTGCGCAGGGAAAGGAGGCCCTGTTATAATGGGGTGAGCGTAGAGGACGCAGGCGAGACCACCGGGATGGCCACGCTCCCCACCTCCAGACAGACCGTCTCTCACAGGGAGGTGTGCTCGCAAGTGGTACTGAACAGATGTCATTTTATGACCTAGAGGTTTTATTTTTGAAAAAATAAACAGGAGAGGAAAAACAACTGCTCCCCTCTCCCCCACCGCTTGACACCCCACTCCAAATAGGCAGGGTCTGTTTGCTGGGCCACAGTAGGATTTTCATCCCTTCCTGACTTGGGTGGCATTTAACCCGTCCCCTGTTGACTTGTGACTCCTGGGAACCTGGGCCACCCCAGGTATTCTACACCATCGCTCCTCCCTGTTCAAGTCCGGTGACCTCCCTGGAGACAGGCCCCTGGGTTTCATCATCCCCACTTTACAGATAAAGAAACTGAGGCTTGGGAAGGTGGAAAACCCCATAAGAGCCAATAGGGAGAAAGTGCCAGAGCTATTCTTTGACCCTGAGGGAGTCAGCTTGATCCACTCATGGCAGAAACTACCCTGAACACACAGTGGTGCCCAGAAGTGTCTGGTGAAGGTGTGTCTGGCGGAGACGGGCAGAGCCAACTCCAGTACCAATGGCATCTGGTGGGGAATTTGGAAAGGCGGGACCCAAAAATTGGGAGCACATTTGTTAGATATATTTACACAGTCTTTTGAGGTCCCTTAGAGCAAAACCAAGAAGAAACACAGATCTGGGGAGGTAACCCTGCTGGCCAGTTAGCTCAACTTGTTTCCACAGTGCAGATCCCTGGGGTACTGTGCTCATCAGTAGACTGGAGGTTCTAAGGTACAAGAGGTCACCAACTGTACAGCACTGTTAAGTCCTTTCATGTTTAGTTTGATATTTTCTTTTTCTTTTTTTTTTTTGGTACCAGGGATTGTACTCAGGGGCACTTGATCACTGAGCCATATCCCCAGCCCTATTTTGTATTTTATTTAGAGACAAGGTCTCACTAAGTTGCTTATCGCCTTGCTTTTGCTGAGGCTGGCTTTGAACTCGCCATCCTCCTGACTCAGCCTCCTGAGCCACTGGGATTACAGGCATGGGGTACCACGCCCGGCTCAAAAATATTTTCTAGTATAAAGTTCAATATATGGGACCTTAAATTATTAACCTAAACTTCACTTGTGGAATAAAAACAAATGCAATTTGTTTTATCTCCAATTCCACACCATTTACACGTATATCATGACACAAGAGATGATTTCCACATGGACCATTTTGTATTTTTAGGAGTAAAATCAAAGAACTATTGGAATGTTGATAAAGACTAATGAGTGGTATGGTTTGATTGGCAATTCCATAAAAAATCCAAGGCGGCGCCCTCCCATCACTTATAAACTACACAAAAACGTTCATAAGGAAAACTGACTCAAGGCTTTTGGGAAGGGAATGTTCAAAGCCCCAATCAGCCTCTCAACAGGTCCTCAAATCATCTCAGCAGCCAATGGACTCAGGCTCTGGTCATTTTGCGGCTGGGCCTCAGGAGGGTCAGACAGAGTTCCAGGGTGGCTGAGACCCTAACTGTGACCATGAATGGATCTCACCAGGCCTAGTTGGGAGCTGTCCACCCAGCAACCAAAATGTGATTCACATGTACCTTCACGAAAAAGGATTCCAAGTTGGAAAGCATTAGGTCTCTCACAGGATGGAAATAACGAGATCACCTGCAGTTCTGAGGTGGAGGGCCAGCCTCTGTGCTGCCCAGTGACCAGCGGGGCCTAGCACACCACGGTGAGCCCCAAAGCCATGGTGGAGGACCCTGGGACACCTTCCTCTGTCCAGAGCCTGGCAGCACACAGCAGATGTCTTTTGTCATTTGTGGCAACGTATTTGCATGCCTTTGGTTGATGAGGGGAAAAAATGAAAAGCAGGGAATTTCAACTGCCTGGTTCTCTTTTAATTCACTGCCCGAAAACCATCGCTTTCAGGACTCAATGTTAAAAAAATAATAATAATAAAAAATAAGACTTAGAACAAATTCAAGTTCATCCCATGTGCATGCTAAGAAGTGATCATCATGTCACGGTGGTCTCTTCACCCTCCTCCACAACAAAAGTCAAATCTGGTATCGATGTATGAACGAAATTCTTAGTAACACAAGTTAAGGCCAGAAACTGTACTGAACCAATTTCCATCAAGTTCAAATTCAATCAAATTCAAGCTGTTTCCCATCTTGTGCAACTCACAGGGAAACTGCTGTCTAATACAAGCGTACTGACTTAAGACCCAAAAGGACACTTAAATCTGTGTTTAAACAAGCCTAATTAAGTGGGAAATTAAGACAATCATTTGGATAATCTAAGCCAAAAAATGTTGGGGCTATAATTATTTGGGTATTCCAGTAAAAGCATTTTTGCTTGAATTGTGTGGATAATGATGCTGATTCTCTACTTCACATTGCAATGTGTCAACACAGAATAAATGAACAGATGTTCTTGGAATCACTGAATACATTTATATTCAGTCTGTTAGCAGGAACAAATTTAGACAATTTTTTTTCCTCTAGTTGACTAATATTTCCTAGAAATGTTTCTGAGAGCAAGGTAAGAAGCCAAGAAAGGCATTTTAAAGCAGATTTTGATTATTTATGAAATAGTATGAAATGTGATTACGCATTAATAAATTGACTTCATTTGCCAAATCAGAAGACGGTCAAAATGGACCTGAATACCAGCTAAAGACTGTGAGTGACGGTGCTGTCACGGTGCTGTCACGCAGACCCATCAACTATAACAGATGCACTGCTCTGGTGGAGGCAGTGTGTGTTGGGGAAGGAGGGACATGAGAAACTGTGCCTTCCACTGAGTTTGCTGAACACTCAAAACTGCTCTAAAAATTAAGTCCATTAAAAATAGTTTTTTAAAGATGATCAAAATATGGAATCTTGATTTTACTTGGTACCCAAACTAGCCACCAACCCAAGAGAGAGCCACGAAAGCCATGGAGCTCCATATTGTACCACGTGCTTTCCCTTCTGCTAAACGTGGACTCGTTAATTCTTATAGAAGTTCCTGCGCCACCCGCTTGGGTTATCTGCCTTGTTTGACAGGTCAAAGCCCATTGGGGGAGGCAGGTGCAGGAGCAGGCTACCTATGCATTCGAAGGAACGCTTTGAAGTTGATGGAACATAATGTCAGTGCTGTGTTGCAATCTACGGCCTGAACCAAGGGACAGAGGAGAACCTTCCAGGGGAGCAGGCAGCTGGTGAGGAGCACGGCCCCCATGTGCTCACCTTGCAGCCAGTCTCTGAAGTGGTGCAGCCACATCTTGGGGAGCTGCTTGTCCTCCTCCAGCATGACGTACTTGACGTCGCTGAAGCTCCTGTGGAGGTCATACAGCAGGTGCTGGATGTGCGGGTAGTCGGCCTTCTGCGTGACGATATACATGTTGTAGAAAGAAAAATACTTGAACTGTGCGGCGATGAAGTCATACTCCCTGGTTTCCCGAGGGACAATGTCGGTAAGGTCCAGCCCGTCTCTCACTCGGGTGGTCCCGTAAAGGCTGACCCCCAGCAAGCCCAGGAAGAGGAAGATCACCACGACCTGTAAGACAAGAGGCATGGAATCAGCCTGGAGGGACCCTGCGGGCTCTGCAGGACAAGCGTGGAGGGTCTGTCCTGCCCTACTGGCCCCGCCTGGGCATGGAGCACTTATTTTCCCAGAGGGGGAAACGTAAAATCCTAGGCAGCACATTCCTAAATAACCTCATGAAGAATAAAAATGATTACAGCGTTAAGGAGTCAATCTAAACTCACGGGAATACTGGCTAAAAGGGCTTCACTCTACAGAAGGTGAGCTCGGGGCCTCAAGCTCTGCGGAATCGACTCCACTGACATCAACATGGCCAAATAAGAAAAGTAGAAGCACTCTGATGAACCCCCAAGGAGCTGCCTCCCTTCCACACTGAGGGAAGGGAGAACGTGACGTGGCAGTAGATTACCTTGGCTTTTGGTTTCAGGAGGAAAGGCGCATAGTGCTTCTCTGCAAAAGACGAGAGTGTCCATTTGGTACAGGGGGGCTCGAGGCAGTGGAGGCTGGAGTCAGAGAACTGGGAGAGAAGGTCCCTGGTGGAGCTGGCACTCTCGGGGCTCTGGCAGCTGAGGGTGTCCTGGGTGACGGTGACAGGTTGCACAGAGATCTCGGAGCGCGGCTCAGCGGTGGTGTAGTAGGCGTGCGTGTGGGGGTCGTACTCCGTGCGCAGCTGCACGGTGGACTGCATGGTGATGTGCGTCTCGTGGGCGAAGCTGTGGCTGCTGTAGGGGGGCGGGGGGCTGTAGCGGGCGTTCCCATGAGGCTCTGTGTAGGCCTGGGGTTCGACCTGAATCACTCTGCTGACACAGGGGCTGAAGGAAGGGCAAATGTGTTGCAGGTTACGCGGTGACATGGTGACAGAGAAAGGCTGTGCTCGTTTTCCCTGATGACGGATGCCACCCATTCAAAGAGCTGAGTTTGTGGACTCCTGCAACGTCACGTGACTGACTTGGATGTGGGCCTGATGGAGGCCAAATGAATGGCTGATCCTAAATACGGTTCATGTGACGATGCACCCCTTCCAGCACTCCCCTACACCCCATGGTTTTTCTAGGTGGGTGTGCTTCAAGCTGGCTCTGTTCTAACACAGAGAGCTATGAGACACTCCCACCCTTCAGCAAATGTGGGTCACAGCCACCAGAACCCCAGGGGTTATGAGAACATTCTGTTGTGGGAGGGAGAAGCCTTGGGTCTGGGATGCCCTCCCAGGCAAGCATCCAGGGTCCATCTGTCCCTACCTCTGCCCCCGCCAGTCCAAATCCTGCTAACGACCATGTTCCCTTATGAGACTGGAGGGGTTCCCTCAACAGCGCCCCTCTGGACCCCGCCAAGAAGGGCCACAGCAGTCTGAAAATGTACCTTGTAAAACAGCAGAAAATATCCAATCTCCTGTCCTCGCGCCGATACAAATCCATGCTGAGGATGGCAGGGAAGATGAGCAGCACCATGGCAAAGTTGAATACCACCACCACCGCAGCCTAGAAGAGAGGGACCTGGGTCACCCACATGCCGCCCCCGCCGGCCAGAGCATCCCTCTGAAATAAGATGCTTCAATAACATCTGCTGCCATGGAAAGTGCGGGGAGATGGTGGAGTTTCTTGCCACTTTTCTCCTCTCCGTCATCAAGAGACCATGTGGATACAAGAGGTCCCCTCCTGCAGATCCTTTCTACCTCCAATAACTCCACGACCCCAGAAGGTATAACGTGAGACTAAACAGACCACCGCTCCTGTCTTTCTGGAACCCCGACCACACCAAAGGTAGAACCGAGAACGTCCTTGAGACGCTTTATTTCAAAACAGAGAGACGTTATTTCCCTTGCAGGCGTTTCCGAGAGTTCACGCAGCCCCGATTTTACACTTAGGAATCTGTACATAAAGCGGGTAGAGTGTATAAAAATGTCACCTTTAAAACATAGAGTTTCACACATGTCCCCTGAGGTTTTTAGTAGGCACATTCCAAGTAGCCTCAGGAGTGGCCTGTGGGGTGTGTGATCGAGGAGGTCAGGGAGTGAAGCAGAGGGACATTCCTGTGTGTGATTATACTACACAGAATAAATAAGTGCGGATTCAAAAGTCACGCCGTCACCTAGAATAAACACAGGGCTGGACTCCGCAGAGCTTTGGCAAATCTCCTGCTGACCTAGTAAAAATTACAAAATCTGGGCTGTTAATAGGCAAAGTCGACGGAGGACAGTCCCCTTCAGAAAAGCAGGGAAAGAGGCAGAAAAGGAAAATGGACCTGGAATGCTAAGTAGCCAGGAAATCATCAGAAATTTGCTTAAAAATTTAAAAACTAGTAGGTCTCTAAAGGAGACCTTTTCAAACTAGGTAAACAGCTCAGACAGAGGGAAGAAAGTGTGGCTATAACTGGTACCTAACAAATCAAGGGGGACCTCACAAGAGGACTTTGAAAGGAATTGTGAATGTGGGCTCCAGGTGGAGGAGGAGGCCTGAGCCCTGCCTTTCAGCAAGGAATCCCCATCAAGTCTAGGAAACCGTAAGCAGCCAGGCACCTCATCTGAAGATTACTGAAGAGGCTCTATCTTGAAAATTCCTCATCGATTAAAAATCACGGAGCATGTTACCTTACCAGTCCAATGTATGCAAGGCATGTTATCGACTTGACAGGCAGGCCTACACGAAGCAGCACCTCACTATCATGACCAGGGAGGTCAGCTAAGAAACAGACACTTTCCTTTTTAAACTTTAGTCCTGTGCTGGGTGCTGGAGATGCAAAGATCTCTACGACTGCTCAGAGACAGGCAGCTACAAATTACAGTCTGGGTGGATGCATATAATGTGTACATTATATGATACATAATGATAAAAGCAGATACCACCCAGGTTCCAGAGGAGCTCAGAGGGAGAGTGTGGGGGTGGGGTGGGGAGAGCTGTCTGTCAAGGAAGGCCTCCTAGGATACGGTTCTGCAGGGCTCAGGCAGGAGCAGGGAAGGCCTACATGCTCCATGTAGAGGAGATAGGACTGGGAGTGTCCTCCTGGGTCCAGGCACTCAGGACCACAAGGAGAAGGAATGGGAGACTGGCAGCTACTACATGATTCAATTCCCACAGCAACCAGGAGGTGGACACTCTTATTGCTACTGACAGAAACCATCACCCAAACTGCAGAAGAGCCCATCTGCCTGACGTTTCCCGGTGGACTGGGTTCACACGCAGCCTCGACGCAAAGCCCTCGGCCCAGCTGAGGATGGGGAGTTCTGGCAAGATCTGGTGGCCGAGAGGGTGAACTCGGACTGGGTTGGACCCCTGACCCATTAAACAGGGAATGCTGGGCAAACAGATGGGACACTGAGGATGACTTCCAGGAAGACGTCCCGGGGACCGGATACTTTCCACTTTTTAAACTACAGTCATTTACAACTCATGAATGAGATGTAGAGAATAAACTGTGCACCTCACTTTGGGCCAAAGTCCCCAGGATGAGGAAAGAGCCCCTGGTGGGCAGAGCCACCCAAGCCAATCCATGCAGCCCGGGCACAAACCAGAGCAGAACAGTGAGGCTGTGCGTGGTGGCCGGGGAGCTGCCGATCCTCATCAGCCACAGAAATCCTACAGGCACTTGCTCTGCCTCCTGAGGTAGAAATGGAGGGGTGAAAGAAGAACCCCAAAGCCAAATCTCATCGGACTCATTTTTTTTTTAAATGGAATATTACACATGTAGGGAGATAGAGAGTCTGCAAAGAAAACAGCAGAACTTCAATGTCCTCAGAAGTGTACTAAAATAGCAGGTGCGAACAGCAAGGATTCCTTGGGAAGAGAAGGCTAACTGCAGAGGCAGAAGGGCCTTTGAGAAATTCTAAGAGAATCAGAACCATGGATGGCAATGATGTTGCACTGTCCAACCACTGTGCTTAAAGAAAATGTCCCTAATCCCAGAGCGTCTCATGAGTCACCTGTAGGGGGACCTGTCTAAATACTTGTACCACTGCAACAAGCAGGGCTTCTCATCTGGAAGGATTCACTGAAGAGCCCAAACCACTGGGTGACAGCACAGACCTGGGGAGGACATTGGGCCCAAAGAACTGCAGATGGGGCCAAAGCTTTCTGCCACTGTGGTGGCATCTGGACCGAGGGATCAAGGAAGCATATGACAATTTCTCCAGGCGGGCAAAATCTGTTTTGCTCATGCTACAAAATCCAAAGGTCATGTGGATTTATTATTGGACAGACCCACTTTGGGTCTCCTGTTAACCTATAGCATGCTGCAGACACCAAACACAAATACCCAGAGTCACAGCTTACTACAGGCATCTTAAGGAAAGAGAAGCCACATCAGGGTCAATTCTGAATGTCAATGCATATGAAAGGGAACAAGGGTAAACTTTCTGATGACCATGCAAAAATCTTGCCACATTTTTACTTTCTTTCTTTTTTTTGTTTCTTTTACATTGCCCTCCCTGCCATTTCTTATTTTTAGTTTTGAGAGAGGGAATGAGCTGAAGAGTCACGGGAAGCCATTGGTCTAAAAGAGGACTTCCGGAAGCTGCAGATGCAATTTTCTAAGGCCAATATGGTGACTGAGAACAGAGGCACAGGACCCACAGTACTCATCTGGTCTCCGTGAGGTGCTTACCTTGGGAGAACCCAGCGCACTGGTTTGTGAAAGGCTACTGCTCACAAGGGGACTCAGGTAGCTTTTCAGAACACCACACCACGGGATGTCACCAAAGCAGAGTGTGCCTTGATGAACCATCGTATGTACTAAGAGAGGAGAGGAGAGAACGAGAGGGGAAAGAAGAAGAGAAGGCGTGTGAGCAGCTGAGAACTGAGAGGCCCAAGGACAGCGAGGGAAAGGCCGCAGGCAGGAGGGGTGGAGGAGAGAGCGAGGAGAGAGGGCCCGCTGCTCAGAGGCTCCAGGACAATTTCAATGCCAGAACCTGCAGCACACGGAACAAGAACGAGGTGCCAGTGGGGGTGGGGCAGATGCACACCTGTGCAGAGGGCCCCGGAACTCCAGCTACACCCTGGGTTTCACAGGCATCCTTCACTTCTCTGTCCTATTACTGAGCACCCAGATGTGGTCACTTCCTGTGTGCGGCTCCCACTTTCAGATGCGATTTCAGCCCTTTATTCACACACTCTGTTTCTATAGACAATCTAAATAAATAAATAAAATGCCCCTTTTCAATATTCTCTTGGGGCTGGCATTACAGTGACTGGCACATGATCTCCTCTCACACTCTATCTGACGCGGAATGTCGGGGAACCTCGGACTGCAAACGCAGCAGGATGACCCCCGGCTGGGGCCTCCATCAGCCATTAGTGAAATGACATTCAAGCACGTACTGACTGGTTCTCACGTGACACACGTGAAGACCAGGAAAGCGCTCAACGTGTTGACCCAAGTTTCAGCAAGAACTGAATTCATGATCTGTCAGCTTCTCTCTCTGGTCACCATGCTGGACCTTCTGGCGAGCCGCACAGCCTGGGCGAGCTGCATGAAGGAACAGATGAATAGGAGACACCCAACGTGGCTTCCTTTGGGAACTGCCCACCACCATGAGGGCCAACGCTCCTTGACCCTTTCCTCGAAAACAGCTAGAGCCTTAAAAATTGGGATTAACCTCCAATGACATTTTGTGGTACCCAAGTCCTAGGCTACCTGGGTCAACCATCTGCTTCACCTGCTGCCGGGACCACTTTGGGGAGTCCTGTGACTTTCAAGTAACACCTGTGACTGATATCCAGCATGATCCAGGGATCTCCCCTCCTGTGATCCACCTACACTAGCTCTTTGGTAGTGAGGGGACTCGGTTGGAGACAGGAGGGCAGAATACTGAGAGCGGATGTGCTCTGTAGAAAAATGGGAGGCACCTGAGTTTGCTGAAAAGAGACCAGAAGAAAAGAGAATAAGGGACAGGAGAGAATGTAGAGGTCGACTCAGGAGAGGGAGATGGGGAGCAAGGGCCCCTGAGGGACACACACTGCAAGAACTCCTCCAAGGCAGGGGACGGCCAACATACCCTCCTCCTGTGCTTTCTGATATTCGATTTTAAGTTACTGTCTCGCAACCTGGTCTTTGAACATCACTAAATTCTGCCTGAGGTCCTGGGGTCCTGGGGTCCTGGGGTCCTGGTCTACTTCAAGTGCAGCTCCCTGAGGCCACAGGCAATGGGAATAAGGCAGAAGGGAAGGAAGAAGCCCTGCAACTTTTGCAGGAAGGATGTCAAGGTTTAGGTAGAAGCAGCACCTATTCCACCGACCAGAGAGCCCCCCCCGCCCCGCCCCCCCCCCTGCTGGCGGGCTACGTTCACAGCAGTGGACATGCTGGGTGCCAGGGCACCGCTGAGCAGCCCCAGGCCCCACAGCCCTGGCAACCCACCTGGAGGGAGAATGCCCGCAGGGCAGGGATGGGGATGAGTGCAGCCATGAAGAAGGCGGTGACATTGCTGATGGAGGTGAGGGCCACGCTGGCGCCCGTCCGCTTGAGGCACTCCCCGGTCCTGTCCTGAGGATGACAAAGCAGAACTCAGAGCTGCACTGGGCACTGCCTGCCTCCTGGCGCGCAGACCCCGTAGGCAATGCAGACACACTGGCCTGGGGACAGGAGGGGTACTGCTGCCTTATGCCCCACCCAGCTCCGCTCAAGACCACCCGATAGTCAGGCGTGGTGGTCAGGCGTGGTGGTCAGGCGTGGTGTGGTCAGGTGTGATTCACGAGTACTGCCACCCAAGCCGGAAGCCGCATGATGGTGACTTAAGTGTTCATTTTAAATATGATTTAAAACAGAAGAGGCAAAGGGACAGAGAATCCCAGAGAAGAAACAAGGGCTTTGGAGAGGGGATGGCAATTGGTAGGAAATGGCGCACGAGGACACCTGTTAGGGTTTGGCTCTGGAATGTGTCCCCCAGGCTCAGGTCAAGACTTGGTCCCCAAGGCAGCAGTGTTCAGAAGGGGGGCTTCTGGGAGTGGCTGGCCCCAGAGGGCGTGACCTCATGGGCAGCTGCCTCCCCTGAGGGCTTTTGCAGCTGATGGCACCAAAGAGGCGGAGCCCGGAGCCCAGAGGAGGAAGTGGGCAGGCCCTGGCAGGGTGTTTCTGGCCGCTCTTCCTTCCCTCCCTCTGTCTCTGTTTTCCAGCTGCCACCGGTGAGCAGCTTGGATCCACGGCATCCTTGATGCTCTGCCTCCCCTCAGGCCCAGAGCCATGGAGCCAGCCAGCCACAGACTGCGACCTCTGAAACCATGAGCCCAAACCAGGCTTTCCTCCTTGAAGTTGTTTTTGTCAGGTATTTTGTCACAGTGACGAAAAGCTAAGCCAAAACCCATATTTCCAAAGGCACCGCAAATGGATCTCTTGGGACTTCTCACGGCTAATACACATCTGTCCTTGTGATTCCTCCAGCGGATTTTATTATTTAGAGCTAGTTACATGTCCTCTGCCCTCTGCCACATGGAGAAAAACTAAAGGACAAATACTCAAGAACAGGAGAGACCTGGGGTGTCCCCCCGAGTTCCTTCCTTCGTTTTGCGATTACCTCAAAGGGGATCCTTTTATTCTGTCCCGTTTCACTAAACGCATGTGCCAGTAGGAAAACATCGTCCACGCCAACACCAAGAGCGAGAAATGGCAAGACCTGTGGCGAAGGCAGAGCACAGTGGCATCAGACGTGGGCCATGCGAATAACCCTGACCCTGCTCACAACACCGTCCCCGGTGCCCCAAGGTACCCAGAGGGAGCTTAGGTGAACTCACTGCGGAGCGTTTACTTTCTTTGGTAGCTTACACCCCCAAAGCTGACCAGTTTCAACTCCTGTTACCTCTCGAATACTAAGGCCCAGGTATAATAATTTCTTAAAGTTACAGATGAGGAGGAATCTAACTCTGGAGCCCTGGGTTCCAGACCCCTGGACAGCACCTTGGGAGCTGAGGAGACAGGCAAACGCTCAGCCGGAGGCCCTGGGGGTGGGCCCTGCACCTTGGGCTTTCACAAGCCTGGGGGACTCTAACGCCCACCTGGGTTGGAGAATCTCTGGGATTCTAGTGAGTGACATAAACTGTCCTCAGTACAGCGTCTCTGCTAATGACCAGCCCGGCCCAGCTCTGCCCACTGCCCTGAGTGGCGGGTGGTCCGTTCCCAGACGGCCCTCCCCTGGTTTGAGTGGCATCCCAGCGGAAAGCCCAGAAGACCCTCTAGGTGACACGAATGTGTGGGGCAGGCCTGGGGAGGGGCTCATCAGGGGACAGTGGACAGGTGGCTCCTTGAGTACCTGAGTTGTTGCAGCGTTAAAGGAAATCCCGATCAAGGAGCACAGGCCCAATCCTGCTGCCACCGACAGGGCGACCAGGAGGACGCCTGCCAGCCCCACGGCACCCTGGGACTTGGAGCAGTCCCAGCGCAGCATGGTCAAGCAGGCATAGGCAAGCTGCAAGCAGAAGGACGGGGCAGGGGACACAGAACAAGGGCCAAACGTTAGAATGTGTTGCGATTCTAATGCTTTCCCACCCCTCACCCGGACCCAGAGGTAGAACTCATCAAACCCAACAAGAACGTGATTTTATAGATGCCACATGAAATGAGGGGGGACTCCCAGACAGGAACACTGCAAATGGGGGGACGGGGGGGGGACGCTTTACACAACCACTGTCCACACTGTGACGAAGCGGAGCTCTCTTTGTCCCGGGGCACGTGTTTGTTAAGAGCAGTTAAGAAGCAGGTGCGGGTCACGGGGAGATGCAAACAAATCCAAAACCAAACCAAATCCAAAAACAACCTGACCCAACCCCCCCCCCCAGCAGCCCGCGACTGATCGTTACCATCAGTAAGTAGCCACTGGCCACACGGATGACGCTGACATCAGAAAAGGATTTCAGGATGTCATCCAGGGTGGTGGTGGTGAAGGAGAGCACCTTTTGGGTGGAATTCTGGGCGACGCTTTGATGAACCACCTGTGGTCACAACACAAGGCTAAATTCCCAAATGGAATTAAAGCTTCCACAAGCGTCCACAGCACAGGTCTCGGGGGTCGCATCTCCCTAGCCCTACACTTCTTTCCGGTACCTTAACATCACAAAGTTCTGTGATTCAGGTGGACAACCCGTGCCAAGGCTAACGATCAAGGGAAAAACGGGGGCCACAGTGAGCCGGTGTCCCTGGACTCGCTCGGGGCACTGTATTTACGCCAGGGCGAAGCCCCCTACTCTGTCCCTCATGGCCCTATCCGTTTCCCCCTAATCCAGAACAACTCATTCTCACAGGCACTCCCCCACCCCTTCATTTGCTGGCCACTTTTAAAAGGTCACAGGCAGCTCAGTAGAGGTCACTGCTTGGGAAACAAAGGCCAGCCCCTGTCACATGACCCGACCCAGGGGCCTGCAGCTGTGGAAGGATCCTGTGCCTTCTAATGTTTTCCACACACCTCTCCTTGTTCACTTAAAAAAACACTTATGGCTGAGCTCAGGAGCTCACAACTGGGTACCAAACATGTTTTGGGGTACCCCGATTAGAATTAGCATCTCTTGGATATCGCCCTAAGACTTTTGCTATGAGGGAAAAGGAAAGCTTGCACCCCATCAAGTTCCCAGAATTTTAATCCGCGTTGGAAATAAATGTCACAGAAATAATGTTTTAAATATCGGTGAAAAGGAAAGATGGAAGGCGACCCACGAGTGTGCCCCCAACTCAGAGATGGGTTTACCTCCACATAAGTCCTCTGCCAAGCCTCCAGGATGGCTGCCGCTTTGTCCTCGTTCCAGTTGATGTGTGACACGTACTCGTAGCCCTTGAAGTGTTCATACATCTGCTTGGGAGTCATCAGCTGGAACATGGTCTGCAGGGCGTGGGCGCTGAGCAGGGGAAGTCGGTAGGAAGGCACATCAGCATCCCCAGGAAGCAGTCTCCCGGAGTGACCCCCGGCCACAGCACCCCCACTGGCCCCCAGCAGCTCTTCCCTCCCACAGGAGCACATGTTTCCATTCAAACAGGACTTGGCTGGTGATTTTGTTTAATAGATGGATGTACCAAACTAAAGGTGTAACCTTACAAACCTTTTACAGATAGACCCCAAAATTAAATTAATAGGCAATTTCCTTTCTCAGTTTCTATTCCATGCAACAGGAAGGGGAGAGGAGTAGATAGCTTGACCAGACCCGCTGGGTCCTGCAACGCACACACTCCACCGCGAAGTCCCCCCAGATGGCGGCTTTCCCGAGGGAGAAATCTCAGCGCCACACCTGACACTCCACTGCCCAGAGCCAAGAGGGACCGGGGGCAGCTCTTGCTTAGCTTTTAGTTCTTGGTCTTTTGTTTAACAGTGTGCACCCCTGCCCGGCTCACATCTGCCAACACTGCCCGCTAGGACTGGTGTTCCTGGCCTGCTTTACGCATGCCCGATCTCTACATAATAGGCAGATCTTCTAAAACCCTCCAGTCAACAACCACAGTTGATGCACACTACAAATCCCTTCTAGAGAGATTCCCGCAAGCTGCTTTTTCACACTGGTACGGTCTGCTAATATTTCCTAATACTCGAGGCCACAGTATGGCAAGCCAGGGTAACAGTGAGGTATGAATACAAATACACTTGCAGATGTGTGTGTGGGGGGTGGTTTTCAAGGACAAGAGGAGAGAAGCGATGGCTCGCATTTTACTCTGTGTGCCGGGTTACCTGAGGAGCTTCCCAGTGCTGTTCTTGACTGTACCACCCACAATCAGTTCTTCCTGCCAGTGCATGTATTTTCGGGATAATCCATGGCATCCACCATTCAAAACAAGGGCCATATCAAGAGGCTAAAATAAAAAGACAGCCACATAATTACGGGAATTAGTAGGCAGGTCACATGCCTTGTTAAAATCCAGTACATTAAGGGCTTGTTTGTTTCAGAGAGAACATTAATAACTAGGCTAATGAGAGGCGTATGGCAAATCTTACAGCAAAATTTAGCTCTATAAACAAACTTAGTTCTGTAGGTGGAAAAAAAGAAAAAAGAGATCATGGAGAATGAAGTATTAAATATGAAAATAATAAAGAGAAGAATAAATGGAAATAAGAGCAGCTTTTCTCTCTGGCCCTTCTAAGAAGGCTCACGGCTGCACTCACTCGGGTTGAGTTCTTGTTGGGGGCTGTTGCAGGGCAGTCGGGATCAGCGGGGTTGAGGCAGGGGCGGTCCATGTACCCATGCCCCACTTCAGCCTTATTCAGCATCTCCTCCCAGCTGTCTACTTGATAATTTATTTTCTTTAACTCTTCTAGGAATTCCAAAGGGTCAAAGTTGGTCCACCGCAAAGGAGGTTTACCTCTGCGAAAGAAATCAGGAGGGGAGACCATGAGAAACAACTCTCAAACTCAGGAAAAAAGTCTGCATGTCTTGTATCCATATTGCAAGAGGCTTTTTGGTAATGCTGGGACTGGAGCATAAAAATATGCATGGTCCTTTCCTCTAGGTCTATATGCAAACTTAAGTTAGGGAAATAATTCATGATTGAAAATGGCAAGCACAGGGCTTATGAGTTAAAGAATGCACCGCCCCCCAAAAAAACTTCATTGACAGTATATTGTATTTTATATCTAAAAAAAAATAAATTAGCCAATGGACACTTCTCTAAGCAGAGGAGTAGGATCCAAAACTTAAGGGGAGGGGGAAGGTGGGGGATCACATTGTCAAATTAGCACTTGCTGGCCTACTAAATACTTTGTAAATGTCATCGATCAAAATATTTGATCTCTGTTCCTTTTAACAATTCCATACTCGTGAGCTCTCTCTGACAGCCTGGCGATCAGGCGGGGGAGCCCCCTGTGGCCTCTGCCATCACCACCATCACAGCCACTTCCCCCCACACTCACTTTTGAATTTGTGCTGTTGACAGACCAGAAAGGCTTTTGGCTGCCTGTTATGTGGTTCAAACCACTGTAGCTGCTTAACCAGGCTGAAGTCATTATTCAGAATCTCCCAACCAGAAAACACAAAACCCCTTATTTCCCATCTAAAACTGTACACTGAAGGTCAGGGGATGGCCACTGCAAATTGCTTTTGCAGATATGTGCAAGCCAGCACAGAAACAATAACCCAAGCATCAACTCTTGCATAATTAACCGAAAATGTCTACACTGATTAACAATCATTCTTTAAAAGACGCGGTGTATATAATATCCAACTGCTAGACTGTGACGCGTCCCCCACCCGGGCCTTCAAAGACAGGGCACTTCCTCCTTAAATGTCATTAATATGATCCAAAGAAAGGTTCGTATTTTACTCCACAGGAAGATCTTGAACTTTCAGTTGAAGGATTTTGTTCTGATCCACACCCACTAAAAAAAAAACCTTCTTCTTAAAAAAAATAAGTTAAAGGTCTAAGTGCCTGGTCTGCAAAACCACATTTTATAAAGAGTTAAAACAAAATCGCACATACTCTGCAATAATTTGCATTTTATTTGCATATAAATAGGTTGGTAAAAGTGAATGAAATTTAATGATGCCTACAGAACTTTTTTTTGAAAAGGGGAAAGCCATTCTGCTGGAATCCCCTCTTCCCCCACTATTCACTCAAAAAATGCACATGGAATTTCAATGTTTTTATTTCTTGTTCAAGACTGAAATAGAATCAACAAGGATGAGCAACGTCCGAACCCTGCATCTGAAGAGTTCAGAAGTCAGATATCAGAAGACGGGAGGACACTTACAGGAGGTACGCCGTCCCCGACTGTAACTTTGCCCCTTCCCAGAAGCAGTCCAAAGGTGTAATGATTAAACAAGGGTAAAGATATTCTATGATCTGTCAAGGTGAAAAAGAACAGGTCATGCATTAGGTGAACACATACCACTGGGGTGTTTTTGAGACTTTTTTTTTTTTTTTTTTTGCAAGACAAGAAAATATACCTGATCCATGTAACCGGTTTCTGTGATAAGTTCTCCTGATTTGTAACACAAATGTTCCAATTTCCACTGCCTATTGGAATGAAAAGCAGAGACAAAAATTTCTCATAGTGATGAAGAAAATTAGTGCAAAATCAGAACAATAGAACATATAAAAAGAATTGCAATTTCTACCACTTTTAAGCATCTGTCAAAACCAGCAGAGCTTTTGCCAAGTGGAGACCAGAAAGCTTGCTCTAATGAATAGATAATACTCGATTGTAATTAACATGTGGGGTGTTTATGTAAATGAATGCTACCAAAGTACTTGAAAAGTCTTGTTTTCTTAAGTGTTTTCCCAATAATCTTATTTACACCATTAATCTGCTTTTCCACATACATTAATCAACTTGAGGCAGCCCAGCTGACTCATCACAAATTCAAAACAAGCGAGGGCTAAATCAGTGAGGCTTGTGATGTACCCATGCAGAATACAGTATGCATTACAACACATCATAGATACTGTATGCTGACTTTTTTATTCATAAGCAGTGTTTGAAACAAACTTTCTTGTTCTTATCCAAGAACGTAATAAACAACTTTTGCGGGGCTGACCACACTCTCGTGGAAATCACACCACATACACAGATCAAGAATTAACTCGAAGTTTTCTATAAACCGTGCTTTCTAAATGTGTTGATGAAAAACAGGAAATATGGAAGAAGAATCCAAGAGAAGCAAAAACAAAAAAAAAACAAAATAAACCTCCTCTTAAACTGCTCGTACCGGTCTCCAAAGGGAGGCCTGTCTTCATCTAATGGAGCTCTCTAGACTTTAGCCTCTTCCCTGCGCCTCCTGCTGGACCTTCTTAAATGGCACCTTTCTGCCGATAACCTTTGACCAGTGCTGATGGAAACAGCCCCCTTCTCTAGAGCATCAGCCCGCACTGGACAACTGTAGTTGGCTAGTGTAGTTGGCTTTGTCCCTGCCTATCTGTATGGATGTCTCTCCTCTCCCCAAGAGTAGGACTGATGTCACCCACCCATCCATCCGTCCATCCATCCATCTACCCCTTTACCCACCCGTCCAACTCTTTCAAGTATGTATGTGTCTATAAATGTATGTACTCTCTCACACACACATGCACGCGTAACACACATGTATAAATATACATACATATAAAACACACACATAAATACACACATTTTAACTCTGTATAACATCAACACAGAACCGCCAACACTAGTAGGTTCTCAGTATCACCTGATTACTTGTGCTTGTTTTAGAAGACGTGGCTGTGCATTCACTGACCTTAGAACCCGAAGACAAGGGGTTAGAACCTGGCTCCACCATTTAATGGTCCTATGAGCTTAGATGAAGGCTCTCATAAGTCCCAGTTTTTTCACCAAAAAGAAGGAGAGCTCAACTACATGTGCATTCGTAAAGTCCATTCCAATGCATAAAATTGTTCGGGCTCCATCTTAGCTTAAAGGTGTAATTTCAGTTTACAGACCCTCAAATCTTCTCCTGAGGGACATACACGACAAACCCTCTCAGGGCAGGGGCTCTTATCTTAACAACATCCTGGGCACACACACAGTGGTCCTGACCATCCACTTTCAGAGTGTTTGCTAGGCTTCCCTTGCAAATCTGCTCTGGGCATCCGCTATCTACAGTTTTTTTTTTGGTGGGGGTTGTTTTTTAAATACAGACTTAGAGGTGAGCTGGTCCAACCCAGTGCTAAAATACCTCCTCTTGTTTCCTAAGGTCCTTTCACACACACACACCTGATCTGGGAACCACCTGAGGATGAGACAGATAGCTGACAGATGACTTTCCCAGATGTGGTGGTCCCTGGGGTCCTATCTACAGCTGGAATGGGTCCCGCAGCCAATCCAGGTGTATCCATAGGAATAAAGTCAGAGCAGGGACAAGCACACGTCCTAATCAGGTTCTCTTCTCTAGGTCTCCCTGGTTACTGAATGTCTATGTTGCAATTTCTTCACTTCTACTGTGAAAAAAATAAGTTATCTGTCACCCCCTTAGAGTTCAACAGTGCTGGAAAGCCTACGAGAGGGGGTGAAGTTGGATGAAGCCCACTCAGGGTCCTCTAGAAATGGAGTTTAGTGATGGCCATCTGAACAGGCTGTCAGTCAATCAAAAACGGACCGCCTGGCCTGCACAATGGACCACATGTGTGGTTCCTGTCCTGAAGTGTCCAACAGTTTACATACATTAGAACAAGGATTGTTCTGTTCTAGAACTCTTCCTAAACTTTTACTTGACTCACAGCATTGTTAAAGTCAGCCATGAAACTAAAAGATGCCTTTTTTAAAAAAGGTGTGAATCTACTTGAGGTAGGAAGGATTCCCAAGGAGGCTCCACCCCACCCATTTGCTTTGTGATTAAAAAGAAGTAACTATTTCCTAGTCCTTCTTAGCATTATTTATAAGGTAAAGAAAGGCAATTTAAAATATAGCTGCTCTGAAAATAGCTTAAGCAATAAAGACAATTTACTATGTTACCAATACAATCAATTTTGGAAAAAAAAGAATACCCTTAGGCAATGAAACATTTAATAGCCCAGATATACAATCACCCAAATGGATCAGAATCATTCTCTCTGGGGGTGGAACCAAGATACTTACCAAAAATACATTATCAAGCATTGGTTGAACATTTCTAATATGAAAATCTGAAATGCTTCAAAATCCAAAACTTTTTGAGTGTCAATGTGATGTCACCAAGTGGGAAATTCCACACCATGAAACTCTGTTTCATGCATGAATTGCTAAAAATATTATATAAATTATCTGTAGGCTATGCTTATAAACTGTATTTGAAACACAAATGAATTCTGTGTTCAGAATTTGGTCCTATCCCCAGAACAGATATCTTATTAGGTCTATGCAAATTTTACTCCAAAACCTAAAATAAAAATAAATAATAAAAATAAAACAAAAAAGAAACACTTCTGGTCCCAAGTATTTTGCATAAGGAATACTCAACCTTACAATGTCCTTGCTTTGTTACCAAACTCTGAAAACCAAACAAGTTGAGGGGGAGGGGTGGAGAAGACTCAGTGACAGAGGTTCAATCCCCAGGATGGCAAAAAAGTTTCACTAGAACAACACACCAGTTGAACTGACACTCAAGGTACATTTTCCAGGCAACTTTGCTAAGCAGGGACCTATGACAGCAGCGCCTTCCCACCGCCTTCCCAGCTGGCCTTACCTGTTGTACATGTACACGTGGACCCGGCTGGCCTGGAGCGCAGAGTCCAGGTGTTGCAGGAGCGCTTCTGTGGTCAGGACATTAGCACCTTCTTCTTTTGGGGTCTGTATCATGAGCTGAGGATTAAACATGGCCTCTTCTCCAATCTTCTGGCGAGTATAATTTAATTCACGACTTACTCGCCCACCAACTGACAAACATGGACAGGTTTCAGTGAGAACAAGAAAAAAAAAAAACAAAAAAAAACCCAACAAAACAAACAAAAAACCCCACATCACCACAGATTCCTGTCGTTACCTCACAACGGAGGCAAGTTCCTACACAATGAACACACTCTGGCCATGCAGTGGTCTGTTTGAGGAGCAACACTCATTTCATTAATGGTAAGGTTAACCTTGCACACGATAAATATGTAAAAAATCCTCTCTGACCTGCATGTCACTTCCGCAGACCTACTGGATGTGTGCTTTGTGCACATTCTAACTAATTTGCCATGTGTCTGAAGGGGGAGGGGGGCAGGAAAACTCAGACCCCTTTTCCTTGTAGACTAGACCAAATAACCCTGTTACAATTTCTTTCACTTGTATAAACAAGGTGCCCCTGCAGCACATTTCAAGATAAATGGCTTCAATTTACACTCTTCTCCTAAGTAATCTGCAAAGGTACCAAGGAAATGTTTCTCCTCGTGGAAAAAGAAACAAGGAAAGGTGGCAAGTGTGTGTTGGGCACCCCAACTTGCCAGGAGAAGATAAATAACGTGATTCAAATCAGATGCTCCCGGGGAAACCCCATGGAGGGGCAGCAGGCTCTATCAGCTGGGCCCTCACAGGCAGTCCCTGGAACACGGTTCTATCCGAATCACCCAGAAAACACAGGTGCAGGTTCTGAGTCACCTAGGGGTGGGTGGCCTGCGTTCAGGAAGCTTCCCAGCTGATCCTGCACCAACCCAGCCCTTGGGTAGGTTGGTCAGAGCTGGGCACAGGTGGCCAAACCATTGGCACCGATTCTGCTAATGCCCTTTTTCTCATCCTCTCCATTTCACACCCTGAGGCCCAGGCTTTATATTCTATCCTAGTTTTGAACCAGGGAAACTATGGAAAGTAGCACCTGCCCTGGAAAGCGTCTTGGGAGGATGGTACAGAGAGAGGACCCTAGAGTGTCTCCCCAGGCCATGCACTTGAGGGTGAAGGGGGCGGGTCTGAGGAGTTCCTAAAGTCGCTGATAAGTTGAATTTTTGCTGAAAAGCAGGCCTCCTGCTAGAGTTTAGGGAAAAAAAAAAAAAAACTCAGTGATTTTAGCTTTCCCACGAGGAGGAATCCTTTTTCTTCAAGTTTAGTATTCAAGGACATAAACATTTGGTTTGGGCAAGTAAATAAGTACTGGGAACAGCGGGGCGTTTAGTTCTTTTGGCATATTTTATAAACAAGGGGGCAGGCTAAAAAGCAAATAATGCCCTCATTAGGAAAACTAGCGCAGAATTTCGGGCTGGCAGGACCCTCTGTGCAGGTTCACGCAGACGCCAAGGCCGCCTGGAGCTCCAGGGTGAGGCTTGGGCAGGAGTGTGTATGCAGCAGTTGGTTCCTTCAAAGTATCAAGACTCTGTGTGCTGGCCAACAGCCGTGGGGAGTGGCTGAGGACCTTGCAATCAATTTTCAATTAAAAACACCCCTGGGGCTGGAGGTACAGCACACTGTAAAGTAGTGCTGGCCTGGCATGCCCAAGGCCCTGGGCTCCAGGGTGGAGGGGGTTCTGGGAAACTACTTGCCACACAGGCTCATTTGCATAATGTTGCTGATGGTATCTTCCCTGAAACCCTACTACATACAGCTGCCTGAAGGCAGCCGTTCATCCAGCAGGAATCACAATATATTCTACCAGGAGGACTCAATCCACATCTTGATGGTAGGCGGTTAAGTGATGCCCAGGGAGGAGGTGCCCGTGGAGATGGCCTGGACTTGGCAGGACTCCCTCTGGCCTTATCAAAGCAGCTGACTGCAACTATGTAACCCACAAAGGGGCCACAACCCAGGAGATAAGTGCACACAAAATAACAAAATCAAGTGGGAGGGGCCTGCGCTGAGAGTGGCCTCTTACTACACTCTTCCAGACCAGCTGCACGATGGGTCCATGATTTTAATCACAGGGATTTTCAGAAAGATTGCTGTTTCCATAATATCAAATGGAGACCAGCCAGGTCAGGGGGCCACATCTGTAGTCCTGACTACTCAGGAGAATGAGGCAGGAGGGTAGCTATTTCTAGGCCAGCTGGGGTTACTTAGCCTGACCCTGTCTCAAAGTGAAAAATAAAAAGGGTCGGAGATGTCACTCAGTGACAGAGCATCCCTGGGTTCAACCCCCATTACCCCAAAAAATAAAACAAAAAAACGAAACAACTTCATGGTCTCCATTATATTTTCACAATGTTTATTAAAACAAACATTTTAATAAAGATGTACATTTGCCATGACTCTGGAATTAGAAATCCTTTTGCTCTTCTACCTCTTTGCTCAAGTGATCATTACAAATATCTTGGCAAGGTGACAAGCAACTTCAGCCAAGACAAGACTAACACCACAGATGACCAAGCAAGTAGAGGTCAGACCTGAATTCTAATGTCTGCTCAGCCCCCTGTGCTTGACCCTACTTACAAGTACTGTTAAGTTAATTTTTACATATTACATGGCTCATTCCTTGCCTAACATTTCAAATATGAACATTCTTGTGAGCTACCATTCGTTTTATGGTCAGCCGTGGTCAGGGCAAGTCCTCAGTTGGCAAGCATTTGTGAAGGCGCATCCCGTGTGCCAAGGGGTAGGAATAGTTTAGGGGATGAGATCTGTGTACTCTGCTGCTATGTTCCAAGAGACTCGCTGGCCAGTGACAGAAACAGGCGATACACCAACAAGTCAGTAAGGACATTTTTATAGCATGACAAGTGCCAGGAAGAAGTAAAGATGGCAGTGCCAGCTTGGGTGGTGGAGAAGGGGGAAGGCTACTTCAAGTAGGACAGCTGGGAAGACCCAAAGGGAAGTGACGTTCAAGGTGACTGAAGAGCTGGGTGGAAATGTTCTAGGAGAGGAACAGCAGAGCCTCAGATTTGGCTCACTGCGAGGAGAGAAAGGAATACATGTGCCTGGAGCTTGGTGAGCCATGATGATGTCACTCACTGCTTGTGTGGGTAGACTTAGCTCCTTCTCCAGTACACCTGTCATCAACAGCATGACACTCAGATGGTCTTACATCAGTGTTCACCCAAGGCCCCATGGTACAAGCTACAAAATCCAAACTCCTCTAGACAGCCACTTGACAGACCTGCCCGACATCTGCAAGCTGTCCTAGCAAAAGCCCATCCCAAACCCTGGCTGCATGACAGCCCAGAGATGTCCTCCTTATCACCCGCAGCGCAAAGCCTTGAGCTCAGGACATCGCCCAGAACCATTCCAGGTGACACAAATTACAGTCAGGGCCTGAGAGAAAATGGTGTTCTCCTTTCTCTTTTCCATTTCCAAGGTCAAAGTCTTTATATATTCTGAAAAATAATCTAATGTTCATGAAATACTGCAGAGGAAAATAACCATAGAGAACAGAACAAACTGCCAAATCCAGTATTTATCAGGCAAACGAAGGCATAGAGAACCAGGTTAATAGCCATGATATGATGGCTGGGTGGGGTTCTATGAGTAATTTTTACCTGCTTTCCTTTTGGGGGGAGGGGTTCTCTCTAATTTTAAGGTTTTCTTCAAGAAACATGTATAGTTGAAGGCTTCTATGTGAAAAAAGACAAGGAAAAAGAAGAAAAGTGTATTCAAAACAAGATCTGAGTTTAAAACAAGCTCAGTGCAAAAATAAAATGCATCTCTACCTCAACCTTTCTCTCTATCTTTCTCTCTTCATCCTGCAAGCAACTACTTAAACAAAGTAACAACCAGCTTCTTTGAATAAGACACACAATAACATTTTATGCTGGTGTGGGCTTTCCATTTGCCAAGCCCTTTAAATCACTTGTTGACTTAGAAATCAAGGTGGGGGGAGCTGCCTTGGACAGGTAGTAAGGATGGGGATCAGAGCACCCTGGTTTCCAGTGCTACCTTTTGAGGCAGGGAGATTTGGGATAAGTCCCTAAATAGATGAGCTCCAGTAAGATTCTCTGCAACATAGGGACAAAAATGCTAAAACCCACGACACAGGATGATGTGAGGATTCACCGACACTGGTTGTAAAGCTGCCCAAGTCCTCACCTGGGGACTGGGCAGACAGTCATCCTTTTCCTCTTTTATGAAGAGCATTTGTCATTGCCCTTACTTGGAGGAGTCAGGTGACTTGCCCAAGGTCCCCTGACTAGTAAGGGGCAGAACTGAAGACACTAATCCCAAGGCAAACTGCCCTGCCAGCCATAATGCTTTTGAGCACCATCTGAGAACCTGAGTGCAACAGAGGAGCTGGTCTAGAAGAACCAAGATTCCCATGCCAGACTATGTGAAGCTCACACCTAGAACTTTCGGAAAGCATAAAAAAAAAAAAAAGGCATTTTAATATAAAGGATAATGATGCTGCCTCCAGATTTTTGAGTCATGAGGGCACATACAAGCCATCTTCTGCTGTGAATTCTGCATGGTATACTCCAAAAACTCAAGGCTTCGATCAGTTATTTGAAAGAGGCAGGTACAGGGCATCACTTCTGCAAAGAGCTCCTTTGATAAAGCTCTGCCTGTTCTCTCCTCCCCAAACCAACCCAAGCTGGGTTTTGCAAAGCAAAGCAAGTGCAAATGTACTATTCTTTGCTTTGCAGCACAGGTAAGAACCCATTCTGCAAAAAGGTCCCCACCTCCAGACAGTCCTATTCCACTGCACTGCAGGTGTTCCCTGCTGTGTCAGGGCCTTTCACACAGAACTGAGCCATGTGTGTCACATTCACACAAAAACTCTTTTAACAAACTCTTATTGTGGTGATCTAGGTTAAGATGACCAGAGACAGACCAGCAGACATTTTTTTTTAACCCTATGAAATTCCAAGCCCCTTAAGGGAGGTGCTTCTCCTGTCCCCTCACCTCGGTATGTGCAGAGGACACAGAAGCATACCAGGGCACAGCACACAAAGTATTGCATGAATAGACGAATGAATGGTCTCCGTCCTGGGAACAGGCAGTCATCTGTACAAGATATTAATTCCCCCCAAAGCCTCAAAAAGTC